AGGTAAGAGGATCAGTGTGAGTTCAAGGGCATTGCAGGCTGCAAAGTGAGTCCAAGGCCAGCCTGAACTGCATAGTGAAACCCTGTTTCAAAAAGATGAGGAAAAAAACAGCCTCCAGGTTTATCCATGAGGGAACTCTTCTTTTGTGTCTTTCTTTTCCTTTTCTTTTCTTTTTTTTTTTTGAGATACATAGTTCAGACTGGCTCACTATGTAGCCCAAGCTGGCCTCAAATTTGTGACAATCCTCCTGCCTCGGCCTCCCAAGTGCTGAGATTAGGGGTACTACATCTGGCTATGTGCTTTACATTTTGAATGATGTTGTTTTTGTTTTTGAAGACAGAGTCTCTCTATGTTGTCCATAGCTGGTCTTAACCTCACTGTATAACCCAGGCTGGCCTTGAATTTGTGATGACTCTCCTGCCTCAACCTCCTGAGTGCTAGTATTATAGGCATGTACGACTATACCTGGCTGAATGTTTGTGAGTTGAAGCATGAATAAATTCAGGATTTATTAAAGCAAGAGAAAATGCTTGCATTAATGTATACTGTAATATATAGGAATATGCTGAGGAGGCAGGAGGACTGCCACAAATTTGATGACAGCTTGGCTATATAGTGAATGAAAGGCCAGCCTGAGATACAGAGCAACATTCCATCTCAGAAAAAGAAGAAAAATAGAAAGAGAGAGAGTGAAAGGCAGTGAGGAGCCGGGCATAATGGTGCACACACCTGGACCCCCAGCACTCTGGGACACTGAGGCAGGAGGCTCAGAAGTTTGGGTTTTTCCTGACAAATACAGTGAGATTCTGTTGAGAAAAAAAAAAGTAAGAAAGGTGAGGATAAACCTCACTGTGAAGGCCTTAGGTTCATTCTCCAGTGTTTTAAATAAACCTCATTATGCCGAGTGTGGCAGCTCACACCTGCAATTCCAGCACTCAAGATGCCGAAGCAAGAGGGTTGCCATGAATTCAAGGTCAGCCTGGGCTACACAGTGAGACCATATCTCAAAAAACAAACAACAAACACATCAAACAACCAACAAACCATCAAATCTCTAATTTTGGAGGCCACACAGCTGAGCACTCTATTTTTAGTCTCCTCCAGCTTTGCCATGAATGTCATACTGAAATCACTGACCTTTCACTTAGACCACACAGATGTCCAGCAGGGGACCTGCTGGAATTGGAGGGCCCCAAACACCACCCTCACATCACACCCACGCTGTCACTTTCTGAGCATGCGCTTGTGAGGAGCCATGCAGAGCGCTCACACCTATGCAGACACGATTACTCCCTCGGCCCCCTTCCATCACCCTGCTTCTGTCCCATCAGCATCTCCAGACTCATGTACGGAGGATTCGCCCCATCTCCACACCCCTGGGCACATCGTGAATCAGTTCACCTTTTTACAAAGCACCAGTTCAGTGATCAGCCTACAGCGCAGCAGGTGAAGCAGGCCTGGTTCCCACATGGTGAAGGTGAGACAGCCTTACAAGTGTGTGTAATAATCTGAACGACCACACAGGCAGAAAAATGGATTCCACTCCATTCCTCATTTGGTAGGATTGCTTTTTGTTAGTTTGTCTTTTTGATACACTTCAGGCTGACCTTTTATTCACTCTGTAGCTCAAACTGGCCTCCAATTTGTGTCAATCCTCCTTCCTCGGCGTCCCAAATTGGGATTACAGGCTTGCACCACACCCCCTTAGCTTTGTAGGACTGTTTGCTGGATTACATTAATTTAGTTTTTGGAGACAGGGTTTCGCTATACAGTTTAGGCTGACCTTGAACTCACTATGTAGCCCAGGCTGTTCTGGAACTTGTAGGTCTCTTCTGCCTCAGCTTCCCGAATGCTGGGATTGCAGCTGTGTGCCAGCAAGCCCGGTTGGACTAGTATTGATATACTGTATATTTTGTTTTGTTTTGTTAAGACAGGGTCCACTGTGTAGTTCAAGCTGGCCTTAAATTCACTCTGGAGTCCAGGCTGTCCTTGAAAGCATAGCGATCTTCCTGCTTCAGACTCCCAAGAGCTGGGATTACAGGTATGCACCTCCATGCAGGTGACATCATTGTTCCTTACAAGGCAAATGGACTGTGCGGACCTCCCTGGCCCCTTTGAGGTTTGTCTAAGACCTTACCTGCGGTTTGGACTTTGGGCCTGTAGGAACCTTAAGGGAGTGGTCAGGGCACAGTTCCTTCTCAGTAGCTGACCTTCAGGACCTCAAGCTTGGATGCATGTTGTCTATAACTAGTGCTTAAGAAAAACAAGGAATGGGTGGGGGATATAGCTTAGTGGTATAAGTGCCTGCCTGGTAAGCACAAGGTTGTGAGTTTGATTCCTGGTGCTGATAAATAAATGGAAAGAGAGACAAAGAAGCCCGTGAGGTGGCATACAACTTTAATCCCAGCATTTGAGAGCCTGAGGCAGGAGGATCGCCCCAAGTTTGAGGCCGGCCCGTGCCAGTGAGTTCCAGACAAGCCTGAAGTACACAGTGAGACCCTGTCTCAAAAGAACAAATCAAAAGAACAACAACAAAAAAGACAAAGAACAAGGACCCTCAAAAGCCAGTTCTCTCTCTTTTTGGGTGTGTGTATAAGGGATCGAACTCACAGTCTCATGCTTGCCAGCCAGGCGCTTATGCCACTGAGCTAAATCCCCAGCAAAAATCAGGTCTCGGTGCACACTGTTGCCCACGATTGATGTGTTTTGAAATTATTTTTCTTCTTCTTCTTCCTTTTGCTCCTTCTCCTTGAAATAAAATGGACTTGGAAAAGAAAAGTCAGATTTCTGCTTTGTAAATGGCCAGCAGCCCCGTCTCCGTTCTGCTGTCGTCTGACCAGTAAACAGAGCTGGTCCACACCCGGCATGGTGTCCCTGCGGGGACAGCCACTCAAAAGCCAGGAGAGAAGACGAGGGGACAGAGACCGTGCTGCAGACAGCGGGCCCCGAGGCACCTGAGCTCAGCCCAGGCTCCGCGAGCGAACGCGGGCCGCGGAGGTGCCGGGATCCTGGGGCGCGCACCTAGAAACAGCCCCGAGCCGCCATCTTGGCCGCTGTACGGCGGCCGACAGGACCCACCGAGGCCAGCGCCCGCCCGGCGCCGCACACAGAGCCACGCCCCCGGCGGCGCAGGCCACGCCCTCCTCCCGCTCCTCCCTGAGGTGACGCGAACGCGGGCGGCGACGGCCTCTGTCTCGGCGAGCGGCGGAGCGGCAGCGGCAGCGGCGCAGTCACCATGGGGGCCCAGCTGAGCACGGTAGCGTAGACGCGGCCTGGGCCTCGCTGTCCCCCGGCCCTCGGCGGCGAGGGGTTGGTCGCGGGAGGCCGGGCCTCTGCATCCGCCGCGCTCCTTCCGGCGGGGATCCGCGTGCAGGGGCGGCACCTGGGGGACACGCAGGGCGCAGGAGCGTGGGCGACCTGTGAGAGGGACCGCGGCGCATCCGTGCGGGCGAGCGTGAGAAAGTTGGAATGTGACTAAGGATGTGTGCCTGCACGAGTGTGCGGGCGAGCGATTGTGCAAAGCTGAAGTATGACGATGTGGGCGGGAGTGAATAGAAGTGTGCAAGCGGAGGGGCGTGAATGTGCGTGATTGTGAATGCATGCGTGAGTGGGTGTGAGTGTGTGTGTGCAAACCGTGTGTGTGAAGGTCTGAGTGAATATGAGTGAAGGTGACTATGGGTGTGAGAATGTGAATGAGAGCAGGGCGTGGTGGCTCACACGTGTAATCCCAGAACTTGGGAGGCCGAGGCAGGAGGATCTCTGTGAGTTTGAGGCCAGCCTGGGCTGCAAAGCGAGACTGTTTCAAACAGACCAAAAAAGTGAATAAGAATTGTGTGAATGGGTGTGAATGTATGTGCAGGGCTGTGAGAATGAGTGTGAACGTCAGGGTGAGTGTGTAAGTGTGTGGTTTGAGTGTGCATGGGGTGAGTGAATGAGAGAGCGGAGCAGAGGCTTTGCACATCTGTTGGCGAGGACAGCATGGGCCATGGCTGCGGCCATGGCTGCCACCTGCAGGCCCTCCTGTTCCCCTGTCACCCTGTCACCTGGGGCCAGGCCCGTCCCCTGGGCAGATGATGTGGCATCTTTGGGACTTGGCAACAGGCCCACAGCCCTGAGGAAGGTAGCCAGGCCTATGGGCTCCAAAGTCCACCCCCTTTCACTGTTGTAGCGCTGCCCGCCCCTTCCGTGTCCCCCGCTTAGCCCTCCAGTTCTTTCTTTATATTTCTCCAGGCTGTTCTTGCAGTAGCCCAGGCTAGTCAGTCCTCTCCGGGTTTCTCAAGATCACCCCTGAGGCTGGAAATTTAGCTCAGTGGCACAAGCACTTGCCTGGCAAGTGGAAGTTGTGCGTTTGATTACCAGTACCCTCCCCCCAAATCATGCCTGTCCAGAGCTCCCCCTCCCATCCTACACAAACACCCTTGCCTGGGCCTTGAACATCAGGTCCCCTGGGGGGAGGCTGGCACCGGGGGCCCCAGTGCCAGAGGTGGGTCGCTGCAGAGGTGGACATCTTACCCCCTCAGGGTCCCTCCTCTCTGCTTGGGCTTCTTACCTTCCAGCCAGTGTGGCCAATCTGCCAGGGCCGCTTCCTGTCTTTCTGCTGAGCAGCGGACAGTCTCCTGGGGCAGGAGATGCTCTTCAGTCCCCGGCCTCATCTGTCCAAAGGGCACACCCCCAGTCAGGCCTCCCGTGCCCTGCAGGCAGCACTGCACCCTGCATTCTCTGCGGGGCTGCAGAGTCCTGGTGCAGCAGCCTCTTATCTGGGCCTGGCAGGCCCTGTGGGAGGTGTCTGCATGCTTCAGGGGCCCAGCTCAGGGTTGGCACTTGGGTCTGGCAGTCGCCCAGGGAGAACGTTGGGGGCTCATCCGCCGTCTTGGTTTGTGGCTCCTAGCCCAGCCGCAAGTGCCTGCCAGGCCTGGACAGGCCCACAGCACAGGTAGGGTGTGTGGGGCTCCATGCCCAGGGCGCAGGGCCACACCTCCCCGGCCTGGGACACTGGGCTGTCCACCTACCCTCCCCTGAGTCCTCCCGCAATGATCCTTGCTGGCCCTGAGTCCCTGTTGTGGGACTTCCTTCCTCCTTCCCTCCCACTTCCTCCCACTGAGATGCACCCAGAGCCAGAGGGCAGTGATCACTTGGATCTTGGGGACAGCAGTGGCTGGGCAGTGGGCAGGTAAGTGAGTCACTGATGCTTTGTCCAGGCCCCAGCTCAGGGAACTGGCACCTGGGGACACCAGGGTCACAGTGGACAGTGTCAGAGCTGGCAACTGGCGGGCATCCCGTGGGTGGGGATCCGGCTGGGCAGCTCTGGGCTGTAGTGTTGGAGGGGCTCCCTAGGGTATCCTGGGCTCTGTACCCCGTTTCCTCCTCCCGCTCTGGCAGGCAGTACAGCCTCCAGGGCACCTGGGGACACAGGGCACCAGGTCAAGGTCTGCCGGGCAGCTGTCCTGAGGGCCCCAGGTGGCTGAGTGAAGTGGCGTCTGCAGAGGGGCAGGTCCTGGCCCCCACCACCTGCATCCTGTGCCTTCGGCCCTGCACCCCACTTGGGGCCTTTGACTTAGCGACAAGACCTCACTTCTCCACTGCTCCTGGGCACCAAGCACCCTTCCCTGCCTGTATCTGTCCCCTACCTCTCATCTGAGCTCCTCGTGTTGGGGTCTGGCCTTTGGCCTCCACCTTAGGCCCCTGAGTGTCCATGAGTTTGTTGGCTAATCACTGACAGGTCGGCTCTCATCTACCTTTCCTGTAGGAACTGAACCCAAGACCTTGCACTTTCCTGTAGGATTTTTATACATAGCCCTCTTCTTCCCTGTCAGGGGAGCCTCTGAGCCTCAGTTTCCTCACCTGGAAGGGAGTGGTGGCAGCTTCACTCTCTGGAGGTAGCGAGTCCTTTGAGTGCTGGCTGCCAGCACCACCCTGGGCCTCTGGGCAACCCGTCCCAGGCTGCCCCGAGCCTGTGCGCGCTGTTCTTGTGTGACACCGACAGAAGATACAAACAGGATGGCTGCGCCCAGGCCTTTGGCTCGCTCGGGTTCCTGACAGAATGAAAAATGCGTGGAAGGAAGGAGGGACCCTGCTGCCCTCCACCGATCCCTTCCACAAATCCCTGCCGCGCATTCGCTGGGCTGAGCACTGAATGCCTGGGGACTGGCCTGGCTCCAGGTGTGCTGGGGACCCAGGGACTGGGGTGTCTGGGACCCGGCCTCGAATGTACCTGAGGCCCGAGGGGCTTCCTCCACCCCGGCACCTGCCGCAGTGGGGCACCCGGGCTCCCAGCACAGCCTCTGTCCCCTGATTTGTCTGGCAGGAGCACAGGGGAGCCGGTGCTGCTGGGCCCTTAAACCTCTGTGCAGGCCTCTGTGAGGCCTGGTCCTCAGCTGGGAAAGTCATTGAGTTTCATCTCCAGGGCTCCCAACAATGGCCACTTCCTGCACACACTCTGCACCCCGCCTTTCTCTAAGCCATGCCCCGCAGGAGGGGGCTCGTGGCTTGTCAGAGCGGTCAGAGCAGGGGGATCCTCCTGATTGGTTACAGAGGAGCAGAAGCTGGTAAAAGTCCACTGAAAGTCTGGTTGGCTAGAGACAGGCCGGGCTCTGGAGGATGAGTAGGAGCCCGCTGTTCGGGTGTGTGCAGAGACCGAGGCTTTGGGGCCAGAGAGGAGAGAGTATGCAAAGGGTTAAAGCAAGGCGGGCTTGCTGTGCAGGGCTACAGGTCAGAGGTGGGCGCTTGGGGACCAGTGGATGTGCCTTGGGCAGCTGGAGCTGGTGTGGAACACAGGGTTCCCCACAGGATGTAGGAGACCCCTGTGTCCAGAGAGCACAAAGGGGCAGCGCTTTGGACTGGCCGGGCTGGAGTCACATCCTGGCTCCATGCCTGATTGGCTGTGACCGTGGCAGTCTCTTAATCTGTCTCAGAAATCAGTGGCAGTCTGCAGTGTCTCCGTGGGTCACTTAGAGGGTCAGCTTTCGTGAGACTTGGGGTAGTTACCCACCCTCTGTGCCTCAGTTTCCCTATTGTATCCACAGCCCAGGGTTGAGTGGGGTTGGCCCCAGAAGTGTGTGTCTCCTACTTAGAGTGGTGGCAGCCCGAGGCTGTGGCCACCAGGCCCTCTGCTTATGGCAGCTGCTTCACTGCCCGACCCTGGGACACAGGCCTGGGGTCTGAGATGGCTCACCAGTCCAGGTCTCTGGTCTCACGGTCAGTGGCTTCCAACCAGGCCAGCCAGGCTCCTGCACAGTGCCTGGCACACAGTAGGTGCCGAGCGGCCTGGCCCCGGGCCCTGGGCCCTTGCTTTTAGACCTGTGGGCCACATACCTGTGTCTGCTCTGCTGTGCAGCGTGGGAAGGAGGGTGGCAGGGTGTGCCCTGAGAGGCCTGCAGCACATCCCACTGTGGGAGGGAGCAGAGGCCCAGCGCACCCAGGGAACTCAGCTCTGAGCTTCCTGGCAGCCAGGATGAAAGGAGAACTTTAGGATGATGCTAGGAAAAGAACACGCAGTCATTTGCTGAGAGAACCGAAGTCGGAGATGAACAGCTGGGGGAGAGAGCAGGAGTGAACGCCCTGTTCGCATGAACTTGGTTTTAAGCCCCACTAATTGAGCTACCACAGCAGTGGCAGCTTTGGAGCCCAGAAGCCTGGAGCTGAGGTCCCTGCTGTCTTCCTCCGGCCCTTGGTGGCAGTCACACTCCCTGACTCAACCTACCCGAACCGCCCTCACTTGGTCGAGTGGGTGCAGGCACAGCAAGGGCCCCAGGGTGCAGTGGGACCGCTGGGGGGGCCCTCTGTTCAGTCCTTACTCACTGCCTGCCTGCCTGCCTGTCTCTCTGTCTGTCCTCGCAGTTGGGGCGCGTGGCGCTCTCCCCGGTCTGGTTCCTCTACAGCTTGCTCATGAAGTTGTTCCAGCGCCCGAGGCCGGCCATCACCCTCGAGAGCCCCGACATCAAGTACCCGCTGCGGCTGGTTGACAAGGAGGTGTGTCCCCTGCCCAGGCCACAGGAGGTGGCAGAGGTGTTCAGAGGGGGAGAGAGACCCACAGGACCTCGGGGTCCCTGCCCCCAGTTAGCAGAGGCTCCCTGGGGGAGGGGCAGTCCTGGCTGTGCCCAGCGCGCATGCGCACAGGGGCTGTGCCCTCCCTTGGGGACTGCGGGGGCCCTGCGCGGTCTCAGCTGCGTGCCCCTCCTCCCTCCCTGGCCGCCTGTCCGGCTGCGGCCCCAATGACTGTCCCATCCTCCCCGATTTATTTCTGGCTGCCCCTAGCTGCCTCTGCAGGGGTGTGGTCGGGAGAACTGAGTCACAGAGCAGAGTCATTGCTCCGGGCTCTGCTGCCGCAGCGGCAGTGTCCCTACCCCACGCTCCGGCCGGTCCACCTCCTGCCCTGCTGCCTGGGAGGTTCAGGTCCCAGAGGCCTGAGCCTGCCACTTCCTGTGACTGACAGGGCGCATTTGTCACCTCCCAAGAGTTCATAGAAAAAGTGGAATCGAACTCAGGACCTTGCACTGGCCAGGCAGGCGCCTGGGCCTCCAGCTGTGTCCCTGCCCTTCAGGCGGCTTCTCCACGGCTCACACATCTTTTCTCCTTGAACAAATCAATTTTTCAAACTCTTTGTTACTGTTTCTCTTGTTACTGAGGTTGAATTCTAGAGGCAGCAAGTGATTCATACCAGTTCAATGTAAAAATCCTCTTTAGGAGGTGTGCGTGGTCCCCAGGCCCCCACGGCTGTGTCCCCAGGCCTGTGTGAGGCCCTGCAGGTCCTCTTGTGAGCACCGTGTTCACGCACACAGGTGTACGAGGGCACAGGCGTGCACGCTCAGATCGGGATTTTATTTTTTTGGCTGTACTGGTTTTTTCTGTTTGTTTTTGTTTTTTGAGACAGGGTCTTGCTATGTGGTTCAGGCTGGCCTGGAACACAGCAGTCCTCCTGCCTCAGCTTCCTGAGCGCTGGGACCACCATCCCTACAACTCGAATCCTGTGTTTGTTAATCTCAAGTTTTCCGTTCGCTGTACAACCTCGTGCCTTTTCTGGTTCACCTGAAGCTGCTTTGGTGCCCTGAGCTGGGCACCCTCTCTGGGACAGGAGATCTTCCCTGTGCAGGAACTGACAGGGGTGCAGGGGACCCTACGCTGTCTGTGACCTCCCTGAGTGCAGGTGTGAGGTGACGCCCTGGCCGCCTGGGTCCTCATGGGCAGCTGTGCCCCAGGACCCTGCCCTGTGCCCACCTCCTTACCACCCCTTGCCCCACCCTGAGGAAGTGGCTGTCACCTTCCCAGCTGGGCACCTGGCCCCAGCTGTGGGGTCCTGACTGGGGACCACCGTGCTCTGGCCTCAGCTGTGGCCATGGTGTCCTCCCCGAGTTCACTCTCACTCCCTACCCTGCTGTGTGACCTGGGGGCCCAGGCTGTGTGGCCTGATGCCGCCTGCTCCTCAGGTCATCAGCCATGACACCCGGCGCTTCCGTTTTGCCCTGCCGTCCCCCCAGCACATCCTGGGCCTGCCTGTCGGTGAGTCCTGAGCACAGGGCATTTGCATGGGACAGCAGGGTGTCTGGGGAGGTGACCGTGCCCAGTGGTGGCAGTGGCCCCAGCAGGATGGAGGTGGGAGGCAGGCTGCTGGGATGTGGTGGGAGCCCAGAGCAGGACATGGGCCTGTGGGATGATGAGGCCCAGGGGTGACCTGCAGGGACCCCGCCCAGCCAGGAGTGACCCTTCCTGTCCCTTAGGCCAGCACATCTACCTCTCGGCTCGAATCGACGGGAACCTGGTCATCCGGCCCTACACGCCTGTCTCCAGCGATGATGACAAGGGCTTTGTGGACCTGGTCATCAAGGTGAGGTCCCTGGCTGGGCTGTGGGGCACCAGGAGCGGCCACACCACAGTGGAGGCGTCAGGGGCCCAGCACCCGGTTTCTAAGGGAATCACAGACTGGGGTCACCCTGCGGGGGTGAGGGAAGCCGGCTGGCAGGGGCCATGGGGTTGGGGGTCAGTGCCTCGGGGGTGACGGTGACAGTGCAGTGACGGTGTGCAGCCACAGGATCCTCAGTGGCCTGGCCCCTTCCCTCGGTGGCTCTGGAGAAGCCCAGGGACCTATTGCCCTAGCGAGTGGCTCTTGAGGGCCCCTGGCCTCTGGGAGTACCTGTGGCAGTCTGGGGCCCTCAGTCCATCAAGGGGTGGGTCCTGGATGAACATGGTGACCGGGGAGGTGCAGCTGTCAGGACGGGCAGACCAGCAGGGCGGGTGCACTTGGCAGGAGCTGGACAAACATCCCTCCACAAGGTGCCTGGTGGTGCACACCTGTAATCCCAGTGCTGCCTCGGGGAGGCTGGATCAGGAGGGTTTCAAGTTTGCTTCTAGACTGAGCAACTTGGTGACTCACTAAGATGTGGTCTCCAAATAAAAAATCAAGAGTTAGGGGTGGAGCGTGGCACCAAGGCTCTGGATCATACTCAGTGCCACCAAAACAAAAACACAAAAGTCACAGAGAAGTGGAAGGAGCCGGAGGCGTCATGACCAGGGCGACCTGGTTTTATAGAAATAGGAAGGAGTGCTTCGCTCGGTGATGCCCAGTGGGTGACAACCAGGCTGCTGGCCATGGGGCACTGGGGACAGTAGGGCTTAGTTCTGTATTTAATGCGAGGTGCTGTACCACTGAGCAACACCCCAGCCATGTCCCTTCTTGGAGACAGAGGAGGAGACCCCTGTGGGCCACAGCTGAGCCCAGGTCCTGTGGGGTAACCAGGCCCACCAGACTCTGGGGTTCTGGCCTGGGGTCATCCTAGGACAGGGACTCGAGGCTGAGCAGCAGGAGGGGCAGGAAGGGCAGGATGGGGTCGCTGGGCTGCTTCCCACACAGAGGTCCCAGGGTGGCTCCAAGGGAGGTGGGAGGGCAGAGCTTTGGGGCCTGGCCAGCTGGGGGTCTCAGAGGCCCCAGCGGGCTCTGTCCAGGCAGGCGAGGGGACGAGGGGCTGCTCACACAGGGACCTCTGGTGGCTTGATGTGAAGGCTGGCGGTGGGGCCAGTACAGGGGAAGAACTCCTGGGTAACCAGGCCCCCCGTGGCTCCCGATGGCCCTGGACAAAGGTCAGAGTCCTGGGCTGGCACCCAGTTCTGCAAAGGGTGCTCTGCCCGCCTGTCCTCTGCCATGCAATCCCTGTGCTGGGGCCACAGGGACCCTGGTGTCCTCTCCCAGCCTCCTTTCCCTTCTCTGCCCTGGGTCCGGCCCCTGCCGCCCCTGTCCCCAGCTCCGCATAGACAGGTCCTCCTGTCTATGCCTCCCTGTCCCCAAAGGAGCGGGGTTCCTGGGGCTTCGGGAGGGCTGTCCTGAGAGCCACATGTAGAGCCGGGCCCAGGTCTGTGGGGAAGGTGAGACGGAGCCCTGAAGCCACTGGCCTGGTGCCCCCGGCAGATGCCCTGGCTGGCCAGTGTGTTGATGGGGACACAGGACAAGGGTGGGAGTTGTTTAATGTGGTGGGCAGGGCACCACAGGAGGTGCCACATGGACCTCAGGGCACCCCGAAGAGGCCCATGCTCCCCGCAGCTGCTGGGCTGGGTACTGAGGGCCACGCGTGTGTCTTGTAGGTCTACTTCAAGGACACGAACCCCAAGTTTCCCGCAGGGGGAAAGATGTCTCAGTACCTAGAAAGCATGCAGATCGGGGACACCATCGAGTTCCGGGGCCCCAATGGGCTGTTGGTCTACCAGGGCCGAGGTGACTCGGGGTTGGGAGCCTGGGAAGGTGCGGGGCTGAGTCTGCCATCTGGGGGTGACTGGCTGGGTGAGCCTCACCCTCCCCTGAGTCCTGACCCCCTTCTTCTCACAGGGAAGTTTGCCATCCGGCCGGACAAGAAGTCTAGCCCCGTGATCAAGACAGCCAAGGCAGTGGGCATGATCGCTGGAGGGACAGGTAGTGGGCACCACGTGGTGGGGGAGGGCAGGCTGGGGTCCCTAGACCCTGCGGTACTCAGACAGGGGCTGTCTTGCAGGCATCACCCCCATGCTGCAGGTGATCCGGGCCATCATGAAGGACCCAGAGGACCACACTGTGTGCCACCTGCTCTTTGCCAACCAGGTCAGCGCATGCTCCCCAAGATGTGCCCCTGTGGCTGTAGTGGAAGGGAAGCTTGGGCTCCACCGGGCAGTATTCAGGGGTCGGCACGACTCTGTGGAGGTCTGGGGGTGATGGGGTGGAGGCTCAAAGTAGCAGATCACTGGGGCACCCCACCCCGAGGTTCCCCAGATGTCAGCCTTCCTTGCCCCGAGCAGAGCCTGGGGCCAAGTGGAGTGGGGAGGACCCCAGCCAGAGAGAGAGGGCCTGGCTCACAGATGGGGCACGGGCCATGCTGACACCAGCTTCCTGATCTGGAGGGGTCTGGAGCCAGGTCTCGACCTGAGCCCACTCCCTGCCCGCCCTGGCTGCCATATGGCCTGGGACCAGCCGCTGTGCCCCGTGGGCATGGTGACTCCGTGGGCCTGTCCCCCTGCAGACTGAGAAGGACATCCTGCTGCGGCCCGAGCTGGAGGAACTGAGGAACACGCATTCCACACGCTTCAAGCTGTGGTACACGCTGGACAAAGCCCCCGAGGGTGAGCGGGAAGAGGCCGGGTGGGGCGGGTCTCACAGCTGGGCACCTGCCCGGCGCTGCAGCCAGGGCCACCCCAAAACCTGAAATGAGGTCACTCCTGGGGAGCCTGTGTGAGGTCTGATGTGGGGGGCGGGATACTCAGGGCTGATGCCAGTGCTGTTTGTCCCCAGGATCAGGGGACTGCAGGGCCTGGCAGGGACAGCGGTAGAGGAGCCTGTGCCCTGTGTGGCGGGGACAGCAGGCTGGGGTAGGCACAGAAGGGTGTAGGGAAAGGGACAGGACAGCTGGGCTTCCCTTCGGCCCAGGGCTCCCCTAAGGCCTCTACTTCCTGGTTGGGGCCCTCCCTTGGGGCGGGGCTGCCGCCCCTGGTGGTGGCTTGGGGTGACGCAGGTCACCGCTGGGGACAGGGTGGAATGCAGAGCTGCCTTCCACCTGCCTGAGGGGTGTCCAGGCCGTGCCCCAGGCCCGCGTGGAGCAGCAGGGACCCCACTCCGCCAGCGAGTATGGCTCATCCCCCAGAGCTCCAGCTCGATGCAGAGCGATTCCTACTTGATCGCTTAGCTGTGACTGCTTCCTGAGCCCCGCCTCCCTCCGGAAGGACCCCAGGCAGGGACACAAAGTGAATCAGGAAGGAGGGTGCCGCGTCTCCTCTGCTGGTATTGAGGCCTCACAGAGGCACAGGGTGGAGATGAGCTGGAGAGGGTCCCCCTGGCATTGGGGACTCAAAACATGCCAGAAAGCACCGCCCAGCCCCTGAGGCAGGCCTCAGTGACCTGTGTCCCTCCCCTCTCCTGACATGTGCACTGCCCATCCTGCCGCTGCTGTCCCTGTTCTTCCCTGAGACCCGGCTGCTGAGGGCCAGCCCCCCCCCACCCCACCCCCGCCAGCGGGACCAGGAGGAAGCACTCAAGTCCCCTGCATCTGGCTGAGCTACTGGGCTGCCTGACACTGGGCTCCCCGGAGAAGACCATGTGGCCACCGTGTGTCCTTTGTCCCCCTCTAGTGTTCACCCCACTGAGCATGAAGAGCCTTGAAAAAAGGAGGAGCTTTGGCAGGATGTGGTGGTGCATGCTTGGGAGGCTGATGCAGGAGGATTACTGTGAGATCAGGCCAGCGGGGACACACTGAAGCCTTGTTTCAAACAAAAAAAAGATCTGTTGGGGCTGGGGATTTAGCTCAGCGGCATAAGCGCCTACCTTGCAAGCAGGCAGTCGTGAGTTCGATCCCCGGTACTGATAAAAAGGAAAAAGACAAAAAAAAAAAACAAACCTTCAGGGCGGGGTGCAGCTCAGTGGGGAGCACTCTTCCTGCCTGTGAAAGGCTCGGGGTCCCACCCCCAGCACCACAACAAAACAGATACCTCCATGCTCCCCTCCATGCTCATGCAAAAGAAGAGTCCGGTTAGCCTGTGTCTCTGGGACTCTGGGGGACGCCTCGCGCGATAGGCAGGACAGGGCTGTGAAATGTGGAATCTGAGGCCCAGAGGGGAGCAGGTTGCCCGGGAGCGTTGGAAGCCGAGCTGGACCTGGTGCAGGCCCCTGTCTGCTCCGCTCCACCTTCTCCTGAGAGAGGCCTGGTGGGCAGCTGCGTCCCCCCAGCCCTGCCAAGCCCTCCGCATCCCTGGCCACTGGTGTAAGGAGGAGGAGGCTCCCTGCATGGGGCGGGACGGGGACACCAGCTGGGGCTGGGCACACACAAGTCTGGGACACACTCCCTTAGTTTTTTATTTACCGAGCAGCTGCTACATGCCAGGCACTTAAGACACCAGGGACAACACCATGCACCAGGCCTGGTCTGGGGTCAGTGTCCCATAGGAGAGGAGTTGGCTCTGGGCCAGGCCAGTGGCGGCTCAGCCAGAGCAGCACAAGGCTGAGGACTCAGCCATGTCCCTGCCATATGGTGGGACCTGGAACAGCCCAGTTCTGAGTCTCTTGGACCTCAGTTTCCACATCTGTAAAATGGGGACCTCAGTGGGGAGCCGGGGCAGGTTTTGCAGGGCAGGGACAGGCCTGCACACTGTGTCCGCAGCAGAGCCATTAGGGCACAGGCAGGGCAGGCTGAACCCGGACAGGGGGTTGAGGCAGCCCTCATGGGGCAGTGGGGGGAAGGGAGGGCCACAGCCTGCCAAAGTGGGGGAGACGGATATGATACCACTTTCTGCAGGCCCTGGGACAGGCCTGCACACTGTGCGGTTGGTGTGGGTACAGGGAGCTGGGAGGGGAGGGGATTGAGTCGGGTTTTGGGAAGCAGTGCCTAGAGGGGAAACAGAGCTGCTGGGAGCAGAGGGCAGGTCCAGGAGGCCAGAGTCACCCCATGCCCGTTTCCCCGCAGCCTGGGATTACAGCCAGGGCTTTGTGAACGAGGAGATGATCCGAGACCACCTGCCGCCGCCGGGTGAGGAGACGCTGGTGCTGCTGTGCGGACCGCCACCCATGATCCAGTTCGCCTGCCTGCCCAACCTGGAGCGCCTGGGCCACGCCAAGGAGCGCTGCTTCACCTTCTGAGCGCCGGGCCCAGCCTCTGCCGTCTGCGCTGCCCGCGGTCGCCCTCCCTTCCCCCCACCGCCCCACGGGGGCCGCCTCAAGCCCCGGGCCGGGTTCAGCCTGGCCTGCCCGTGCCTTGGTGGCTCTGCTGGGGACACACCTGTCCCTGCCCTGCGAACCCTACCCTGGCTCCCCCACTGAGGTCCCCAGCACTTTCTGGGAGCCTAGGGCTTGGGGGCCAGGGACCCAACTTGCCACCCGCCACGGCCATCCTCACTACACTACACAAGGTGACTGCCACCCAGAGTCCCTGCCAGAGCCCACAGGCCCCACTGGCTGGAGCCCACAACCGTGGGACTGTAGCATTTCCCTGGCACCCCCAAACACTCAGGCAGCCCTGGGTAACCTAAGTCGCCAGCCTGGCGGCGTGCAGGGGTGCCCAGCCCTGATGGCAGAGCCAAGGTCATGGCCTTGGTTCCTCTGCCCCCGAGGGGGGACCTGCTCGGTGCCTCTTACTGACACTCATCCTTGGTGGCCTTAGACAACAGCTGTGTTCGCCTTCTGCCTAGCGGCTTTTTCAGTCATTTATGAGCAGAAAAGGAATTGAAGTAAAACTTTGCTACTCAGCCCTGCTGTGGCCCCGGCTCTGATTCACCTCCTCGGGGCAGGGATGGGCAGCGCTGTGTGAGGCTCAAGTGCCCTTCGGGGCGTCCTGTGAGCTGTGGAAGCATCTCAAGCACACAGTGCTGTGGGAAGCTGGGCCTAGCACGTGGCTGAAACCCGCGTGGTGCCCTCCCCCAGCCCTGCTGTGGGCACTGAGGTTTCCCAGCCATGGGTTTTGCTTGCTGCAGGTGCCCTGTGCCCCCCGTTAGGGGTTTTGCAGTGCTGGGGTGGGGTCCAGGGCCTCATGCACCCCAGTCCACGAGTAGTGACTTCCCGGACTGGCTCCCTGAAACAGGCCAGGGTGCAGGGTCTCGGCTCCCAAGCCCTGCCCAGAGCCTGGTGTGGTCACATGCCCTCACTGGACCTGTCTCTGCGCCCCTGAGTTGTCTTTCGTTTCTTGTTTTTTTTTTTTTTTTTTTTTTTTTTTGTCTTTTTCCTTTTTTATCGGTACCAGGGACTGAACTCACGACTGCCTGCTTGCAAGGCAGGTGCTTATGCCGCTGAGCTAAATCCCCAGACCCTCGTTTCTTGTTTTTTTGAGAGGGGGTCTTGCTATGTAGTGCAGGCTGGTCTTGAACTCACTTATGCAACCCAGGGTGGCCTTGACCCACAGTGGTCCTCCTGCCTCATCCTCCAAGCCCTAATGATAGACTGACACTATCTCCTCCCTGGGGAGTGGGCTGGGTGTGGCTCCCTGCAGGAGACCCCAACAGTCCTGTGATTCCCCACCTGCAGGAAAAAATGCCTGGCACAGGCCTGGATGGTGGTGCTCAGCCTGCCAGCAGGGTGGGAGGAAGGGAATGGGTGAGTGGACCTGGGCCCCCACCTTGGCCTGGTCTCAACTTCCCTGCCTAGGAAATGGGCGTGTGCCTGTCTGGGATTTTTGGGGCCTGGGTCCCACCTGAGGGCAGGTAGGGTGAACCTAACGGTTTCCCCACTTTTGCTGGCCTCTTAGCCTCTCAGTGTTTGCAGTGTCCCTCTGCAGCCCAGGAGTGACCCCATGTACACACGGCATTTTTATTTTTAATTTTTTAATGTTTTAAAATTTATTTCTAAGTCAGGATGTTAGCACATGCCTGTAATCCCAGCACTTGGGAGGCTGAGGCAGGAGGATCATTTCGAGTTCAAGACCAGCCTGGGCTACAAAATAAGCTCAGAGCCAGCCTGAACTGCATAGCGAGACCCCGTCTCAAAAAAAAAAAAAAAAAAAAATTAAGCAAGTTTGTAGTCACCTTGCAGGCAATGATCACATTCATCATGGAGTTTGTGCCTGTGTGTGAGGTATCCGTGGCATAGCTCGATCCCGTTCCCCTCCCTTCAGCCCTTCTTCCCCTCCTTATTTACAAAGTGTGTTTCCACTTTTTCTTTCTTTCTCATTTTTTCCGTTCCGGCCTTGCTCCCACTCCCCGTCCCCCTTTCCTTTGGAACCGTTTCTATCTCACGATTTCTGTTACACGGTGTGATCCTCAATCACGCCTTCAGCTTCTCCGCGCGTGCACGCAGCGGGTGGCACAGGGCCAGGGCGTCGCGTCTCCTGGCTTGCGGCGGGGCCGGTGCGGCGCTCCCGGGTCTCGGTGTGCCAGCCGCAGAGGCGGGGCAGGCGGACTTCCAGACCCTGGGTTTCCGAGGCGGAGATTTCCGAAGGCAGCAGGGCCAGTCCTCGGGCTCCTTCGTGTCCCCAGAGAGGCCCGTCCCCGCCCCACCCCACAGTGCCTTCCAGCCCTGTCCTCCCGACAACCGAATGCCACCCACCTCTGGAGTGCCCATCTCGGTCGGGGCCACCCCGCAGCCTCTGCCCAGTCCCCCGCGGCTGGCCCACTCGGACCGCTGGCCGGCATGGCCATCCCCTCCTCCTCCCTGCAGTCCGCGGACAGGACGGCCGGGCGAGCGAGCCCCAGCACAGCTGAGGACGAGGCCGAGGAAGACGGCCAGGGTTAGCGCCGGCTTTGCCGCATCTCCCGTTTCTCCACACGTCTCCCGAGGCTAGATTCCTCTTCTCTCCTCTTCCTCCTCTTTTTTTTTTTCTTTTGAGACAGGGGCTCCCTAAACAGTTCAGGCTGGCCTTGAACTTACTGTGTAGCCCAGGATGGTCTCGAACTCACAGCACTCCTCCTGCCTCAGACTCCTGAATGTTGGGATGACACGGGAGTCACGCCCGGCTCTGATGCTAGAATTTTAAGTAACTAATTTGGTGGCACAGTACTCGGGACGGAACCCAGGGCCTTTGTACCCCACTACATTCCCAGCCCTTTTTTTATTTTCAGACTGGGCTCCAACTTGTGATCCTTCTGCATCAGCCTCCAAGTGGGCCGTACTGACTTATTTTTTGGTCTTTTTGAGACAAGGTCTCGATATGCAGCTCAGGCTGGCCTTGAGCTCACTCTGTAGCCCAGGCTGGTCACAGTGATCCTCCTGCAGGCATGCGCCACCACGCTGTGCTTTTTTTTTTTTTTTTTTTAAACAGCTGCCGCTCTACCTAGGGGGCGTGATACCACGTTACCGCGGGACGCTATGTGCTTAGCTCGGTTTGGCTTTGGGGCGCTGCAGACCCAGGTTACAGTCTTCCCACATGTCTGCCCCCTGCTTTGCTTGCAAGTAAAAAACTCACCGAAACTTAAGCAAAGTTAGAGACTAACGGGCGCTTTGAGGAAACACTAGATACCCAGTATCTGTGTCTCGGGGAAACTACTTTTGGGGTCCTCGCTGTAACACACAGCAAAGTGCCCTAGCGAGGTACTGCTTTCATTTATCTGCCTTTGAGAAAAAAGGGGACGGGCAGATCGCGACTCCCAGGCATCCCGCAAAGTAGGCGGGTCACCTTAGGGGCAACCTTTACCCGCTCAAAAATTCGTCTCACATTTGCAGTGAGGATTCGGGCGTCACCCCGAATCGTTATTTTCCTTACTCATAAGTTTAAGGCATAGAGAAAAAAATGTACTTGTTGCCTAGGTAATGAAGCCCATTCCCATTAGAGCTACGGTGAATATCACATTGCTCACTGAACTACCAGCCTCGTTCCCTTGAAGTTTATTTTATTTATTGTTAACTTTTAATATTGTTTTAAATTTTATTTGTTTGGGGAAAAGCAATACGCCATAGCACTCCCGTACAACGTATGCAAATAGACTTTAGCATCGCGAGGGCCCATGGGAAGTGGTCCCTCCCCTTCCGGTTTTTGTCCGGTTTAAACTGTCGCGAGAGTGGGTTGGCCGGACGCCGGAAGTAGCTCGTCGCTCTTTAGCTGCCGAGGGGGCGGGCTCGCGGGCTTCGAGAGTCTAAGCTGCTCTCGGTTTGCTCGACGGCGCAAGATGGCGGACATCTCACTGGACGAGCTCATCCGCAAACGCGGAGTGGCGACGAAGGGGCGGTGAGCAGCTTTTTCTTACTTCGAGGCTTGGGGTCCGCGGCCTAGCGGGGTTCGGGCGGAGGGAGGAGCGGCCCCGGCGCGACGCGAGGGCCGTTTGCTCCCGCCCCCTGCTCGAACCGCGCTCCTCATTGGCCCGGTGGCCGCCGCCGCCGCTGCTCTCCAGCCCTGCCCGCCCACTGTTGGGGGAGCAGTTGCTGGGGCGGCGGGGGTGGGGACGCGGGGCTCGGGTTGGGGGGAGGGGCCGCCCGAGGCCCGCGTGCGGGAGTCCTGGGGCACCCCCACCCCCCCGCTATCCTGGCGCCGCCTCGTCCCCGCCTTTCTCGGAGTTGGGACAGCCAAAGTTTGTGGGAAAGTGACTGCCCAGACTGTGCCGAGCTGGGACTCCAACCCGGAGCTTTAAACCCCCCATCCCGCGCCTGTCCGCCTCTCGGAGCTGCCTGTTGGTTGCAGTGCAGTCGTGCAGCGTTTGAAGATTGCTCTCGCACCCAGATGCATGGGCCTTTTCACCATCCTGCGTGCTTTTTGTTCATTTGCTTATTTTTGATGCAGGTCTTCCTTTGCAGTCTAAGTTAGCTTTGAATAGAGTCTAGGCTGCCCTCGAAATGATCCCTCTGCCTCAGCCTCCGCAGTGCCAGGGTTACAGGCGCGGCTCCTAATGATATCCTCAGTCTGTAAATGGGGAACTCGAGGCCGGAAGTGGAGGCCACAAGAGAGCTGTCAGTGCCTTCTAATGCAGGCTGAGGCTCTCAGGCAAGGACAGCTGGAGGTGGGCCTTTTCCTTTGGGACAGGTTCCCTGGAGCTGCTGGGAGGACCTGAGGGCCAGTCACGTTTGCGTACTGCAGGTTCCCAGACTCTTAGGTGGTGCCAGCCACTTGCAGGTTTTGTGAGCTCAGGGCCCCTGTGTGAAGGAGGGGGGCCTTGGCCAGTAGTTTTCCATCTACATTGGATAAGTTAAATGTCTCTGCAAACAGCCAGCTTGTAGGGTTAAGTAGTTTTTCTCAGATGTTCACTCCCTCACTATCTGTATTAGTGTTTGCATGCATACTTGTGGCTGGAAAAATTTTTCTTTTTCTGCTTTTCTTTTTCTTTGTACACAGGATCTCACTTTGTAGTCCAGGCTGGCTTCAAACAAAGCAGTCCTCCTGCCTCAGCCTGCCAAGTGCTGGGCTTACAGGCGCATGCTGCCCTGCCCAGCAGAAATTCTCATTTGAAAGGCCCGGCCACCTGGATCAGGTGCACTGCTCCCTTTGCTGCCAGCATCGCTCAGCAGCCAGCCCTTTGCCGTTTCCTCAGCGAGGTCTTTACCCAGGTCCCTGGGTCCTCAGTGCTTCTGACTCCAGAGCTTCCTTCCTCAGTCCCAGGTCCTGCTCTGCAGGATTGGTCCCCTGGGTTCGGCCCACACCTGGGTGTCAGTCTTGTACAGGGCGGGGTGGGACCACAGGGACGTGGTGTGGAGCGTCAGGAAAAATGGGCACCATGTTACCAGGCAGGTCCTGCTTGGCATTGGCCTGTAGGTTCTGCAACCCTGGCCCGGTGACTGCTGGATGGGGCAGCACCCTCGCTTGTGTGGTGGTGGTGTTCGTGGCAGGTGCTGCAAGGCCTAAATGTGGGACCGTGTTTTACTATTTGTACTTGGCTCCTAAGTGTTTGGTGATGGCAGTTACTGCTCAGTGTCCTCAGAGGGTCAGCAGGGAGAGGTCCCCAGAGCAGACCCGAGAAGTAGCGGCTCTGCAGGCAGCCCGCCAGGGTCAGACCCTTGTGCCCTGCTCTCTGCCGCGCCTGCCCCGCGGGCCACGGCAGCAGTGTGCCCTGAGCCCGTGGGCCACGGAGAGCGCTCAGCGCAGTTAGCGACGCAGGCTTCCCGCGTGGGCGCGCTGCCCTGCCGTCCTGTGAACGGGGTTGATGCCAGGCGGAGACGCAGCCGCGGTGTGGGGTGAAATGTCCCAGAAACACCGCGGACTTGACTTCCTGGGCAGCAGGGAGAAGCGGAGCCATGTTCTAGAGCAGATACGGTCCGAGCACTGCTTAGCCACAGCTGGCACTGGGAGCCGGTTCCGCTGGCGCGTGGACACCCCGGCAGAGCTGGGCATGGGGCCTCACCGGTGCTTCCCACCCCGAGCGGAGCAGCGACCCTCGCACCCTGGGGAAGTGTCAGCAGCTCGTCCCAACTGTGTGGTCTCTGTGTGAGGACGGGGCCGTTCCCTTAGCCGTCCTGACGCTGAGTGTCCTGGACGCCGTGTGAGACAGAAGAGAAGGGTCAGGATTGTTAGTGTCAGCTGGGCCTGCGCTCCACTCACAGAAGTTCCTGGATTCTGAGGAGACTCGGAAGGGAGGGTGGTTTAGCTGGGTGGTTTAAGTGAGGCTTGTTCCAGGCCATAGGGAGACACGCTCCTGCCCCACATGGGGAACTTCTCTCCCTGCCACCCCATGCCACCCCTGGCTTCTGGTGTGGGAGACCCCTGACTAAGGGGCTGAGAGGCCTCCAGCAGTTGGAACAAGCTGACCGATGCTTCTGGGGTGGTGCTGAGCCGGGCACCTCTCCCTGGGGAGTCCTAGAACCGAAAGATGGGAAGGGAATAAGTAGACTTTGTGTTTCCTCGTAGAGACGAGGTTCAGTGCAGACCTGACAAAGGACGAAGTTGTCTTTTCAGTGAAATCCCCGCCTGGCATGTGGCGCACACCTGTAACCCAGCATTCAGGAGGCTGAGGCAGGAGGACTGACAAAGGTTCAAGGCCAGCCTGGACTACAAAGTGAGATACTATCTCAAAAACAACAAAAACAAAAACTGAAAATTTTTTTAAAAAGAAAGGAGCATCTGCACAGCACTCCTGGGGAAGAGGTGGTGCTCTTGCATCTTGCTTTTCTGTGTCTCTAAAGCACCCAATCCAGTGTTGCTCCTTAGTCCTGTTTCCTCCCTGCAAAATGACCGCGGCCCGGAGACCCCTCATCCGGAGACCACAGAGGGTGAAGGGCCCTTGCATCTGGCCCGGGCCGCTTCCTGGGCCTGGCCTTTTGGGCTGGGCATCTGTGCGAAGCCAGGTGGTGCAGCTTTGCCACGTTCCTCTGGGGCTGACAGGGAAGAGAGCACCTGGCCCTGGTCTGTTTGTCCTCCTGCAGGCCCCTGGTGCTCACCCTGGGGCTGGGAATGCTTCAGGCGGACTTGCAGGGAGTTAGAGACACACTGTTGACATTGCTGGCCGTGGTGGGGCTGTGGAAAGACTTCCTCCAGCCTCGCCCTGGTCCTGTGCAGGCATCTGGCCGGGAGTGTGTTGGGCATCTGCACTCCCCATGCTGGGGAGCAAGGCTCCCCAGGGGCTGGCTGTGTTGGGAGCCAGCAGCCGGAGGGCAGGGTGACTGACTCTGAGGTTTAAGGACCCACCCCCAGCAGGAGTGTTTATTTGAAAGATTCCTGATGACTAATGCCTGCCTTATAACCAGCACTGCTGCCTGCTGGGATGAATAGCTGTCTTTTCATGCCGGCAGAGAAGGCGAGGTTATAAAAAGGCCGAATGTGGAAGCCCCCTAAATCTGCTGGCAGAAGGAGCTGAACGGGTGGAATCCGGGAGCCTCATGGGCTCCCTCCGAGGCTGTCAGCCAGCCCCCCTCCCGCAGATGCAGCTTCTCTGCTTGCTCTTCAGATCTGCTCGGTGTGGTCACCTAGGACAGTGACACCCAGCAGTGCTGAGCGCATCTGAGTTTTGCAGAACATAGGTTGCTCAGAGTCATTTCCTATGGTTCCAGCGCATGGGAGGCTGAGGCAGACAGGTTGCTGTGAGTTTGAGGCCACCATGGGCCGCGTAGTGAGTTTCAGGCCAGCCTGAAACAAAGAACAAAACCACGTTTCAAGAAAAAGAATGAACTGTTTACAACCTGTTTTAAATATGCAGCATTTTTTATAAGTTTATTTATTTATTTTTGGCAGAGCTGGGGATTGAACCTGGGGGACCCCAGGCCTGGGACACTGGGTGTGTGCTCTGCCTCTGAGCTAGGCCCAGCCCCTTCCTGTGTACAAAGCTGTGATAACCCTGGTGACTGGTGGCCTCCGAAATGGCCAGACCGAGCAACGTCTGTTATGTGTGATCCTGGCGGGGGAGAAAAGCCATGGTGGGATCTGCAGAGCCTGAGCCCTCGCTTTATGTGAGGGGTTTTCCCTGGGGAACTGGAATGAACTAGATGCCCATTCTCCCGTGTACTCAAAGTTAGGAAATTTATTTTCAAGAATCTCTTTGTCCTCTTTATTTGAAATAGGTCTTTCAATCAGTTGCCTTGTTTTTTCTTGGCAGCAATGTGTTACGGTCTGAGTGATGGCAGAATGGGGGTAACGTGGCTTCTTTGCACTGTTTGATGATTGGTTCTTTGGGGGCAGGCACTTCAGCATGGCCTGCAGCTCACTGTCTGGGCCTGGCTGGCCTAGAATCTGCATCGATCTCCTGGCCTCTGCTCTGGCCTCTTTGAGTTACGGTGTCTGATGGAAGGATAAGAGGGGAGATGGTGGCATCCCAGGAAGGCGTGGGACACGAGTGGCATGTGTCTGACCCCACTGAATGGTGAAGGCCAGGTGGTGTCTGACATGCTCCCTGGTTCTGTTTGCATGGTGCTCTCAGTCAGAACGGCTCCACCCCAGGGCCTCTCCTGCAGCTCCTGCAGGGAAGTCAGGGTCTCATCTCTCCTTGGAGCTGGGGAGACCCTCGGGGGCCCTCCTTGAGGGCAACGCCAGGTGGACTACAGCCTGGTGCCCCCTTCCCACTGGGCAGGCCCCTGGAGCCGGCCCCTTGCCAGCAGCAGTGCTCAGCCCCCTGCGGGCAGGGTGACAGGGTGGAGGTGTGGCCCTACAGGTTTGCACCCAGGTGTCACTCGTATGTGCCTTTGTTCTTGGGATTGAACCCTGGGTCTCTGCACTGAGCTGCGGGGTCGTGCTGTGGGGCCCAGGTTGGGCTGGAACTTGTGGCTCAGAGTGCCAGGGCTACAGCTGTGGGCCACTATGCAGCCAGCTCCTCGTGGACTTCAAAGTAGACCAGGCTGAGCAAGCAGCCCCATGCTTGATTTAAAGGGTGCTGAGTCCTGAAAAAGGGCTGCACCTCATCCTGTGCTCCTGTCCCACAAGGCCTGGGGAGGGGGAGAGGGGACAAGGAAACGGGACCGGGCCCGGGCCCCGGGCCAGGCCTGCGTGCAGAGGCCTTGTGGGCAGCCGAGGTGGGAGAAGCCCCCGACCACTGACCCAGGGTCACCCTGGGAAGAGCCTCGTGTTCCTCTCCAGTGGCAGGAGGCCACGGGCTGGGGCCCGGGCTGTCTGGGGGAGTCTGATTCCTTGGGGTTTTAATGGTTTCTGAAATTTGTTCCTGCAGAGCAGCTGCTTTGTCTTCTCTGTGTTTCATTCTGGGTTAGTCGCAGCCCTAGTGGGACCACCGGTGGCTCCCTTGGTCCCATTGCAGTAGGTCGGGTCCACCCCCACCCCCTGCTGCTCCTGAGCCGCTGGGGTGCTGAGCGAGGGTGAGGAAGGGTGTGGGGAGCAGGTTGCTCTGTGCCAGGTGGGGAGTGCTATGTGGGGGTTCACCTCATTTCCTGACAGCCTTGGGATGTTGTCTATTATGGTGAGGGTGGTTTTTTTCCCCATTCCCTTCTCTTCCCTTCCTTGTTTACAAAAGCTCTATCTGTCTGTCTGTCTGTCTGTCTTTTCGAGAAGTTCAGGCTGGCCTTTTGGGCTCACTGAGCAGCCCAGGCTGGTCTCGTCCCCCCACCTGTTCTCCTTCTCATTTGAACATTTTCTAACCATTTCCCAACATCTCTTACTCATTTGTATCTTTTTACACTTGTTTTTTTGTCAGAAACAATGCAATATTTAAACATGAGTGTCTGATTTATTCCATTTAAGAGCGTGGTCCCTGGGTGCATCCGTTTAGCTAGAAATGCTCCAGCCTAGCCTGGTATTTTTTTGTGTGTGTGTGTGCTGGGGATTGAACTCATGACCCTGAGCTTGCTAGGCTGAGCTAAATCCCCGGGCCCAAGCTTGTCTTCCTTTATGGCAGAGTTGAACAACTCCATTGTTTAAAAGAGGTGCGTCGTCTTTATCCATTCCTCAGTGGATGGGCATTTGGGTTTGTTGGTAAGCTCTGGCTGTTACAGGCTGTGCTGCTGTAACCTGGGTGTGCGTCTAACACTGTGGTGTGTGTTTTTTTTTCTTTCAGGAAGGTGCCCGGCAGGGGAATAGCTGGGTCGAATGGGACCCTAATCCTAGTTTCTTGAAGAATCTCCACTACCCCCACCAAGAGTGCAGAAGGGTTCCGTTTTCCTCACAGCCCCTCCAGCATTTGTTGTTGATTTCTTTTTCTTTCTTTCTTTCATTCTTTTTTTTGTTTGTTTGTTTTTTTAAGATGCTGGGATTTGAGTGCTGGGATTACAGGCGTGAGCCAGCACGCCCGGCTGTTGTTGATTTCTTTCTTTTTTTTTTTTTAAAGCCAGTCAAATTTAGCAGTGTGGGGGGGTGATACACCAACTTTAGTGACACCAATGTTAATAAGTTCTGATAACCCACTGCCATCAGACCAGCCATGTTGTTGATTTCTTGATGATAACCATTCTTTTTGGGATGAGATGAAATCTCAGCATTAATTTGCATCTCTTAGGGCCGAGAATTTAGCTCAGTGGCCTAAGCGCCTGCCTGGCAAGCACAAGGTTGTGAGTTTGATCCCAGGCACAATTTTGCATTTCTCAGGTGACCAGTGATGTTGAACATTTTTTCATATGTTTATTTGCTGTTTGTATTTCATTTGAGAAGTATACATCTCGGATGCCCATTTTTGGATTGGGTCTTTAAAATTTAAGATCTTTTTTTTTTTTAAGTGCTTTATGTATTCTAAATAGTCATCCTTTGTCTGAGGAACAGGGAACGGCTGGCAAAAATTTTTCACTCTGTTGGTGACTTTTTTTCTGTGCAAAAGTTTTTCCTGAAGATGACATCCCACTTTTTGATTTCTTTGATATTCTTTGTGGTTGGGTTTTGTTTCAAGGTCTTTGCCTATGCCAGTGTCTTCAAGAGTTCTTATAGTATGTTCTAGCAGGTTCAGTGTTTCTGGTTTGATATTTAGGCCTTTGATCAATTTTGATTTTAGTTGAGCACATAGTGAGAGAGGCAGGTCTGGCTCTAATCTTGGGTGTACTGTGGTGGTGGAAAGTGGACGCCCAGGGCGGGGTGCCGAGGTCGTAGGCCCAGCGGGTTGAGGTGGCTGCCCCATTCCCAAGGCCCCTTGCCGCTCACTGTCACAGTTTGCACCCACAGGCTCAGCACCAGGCCGGGCCTGGGCGGCGTCCGCTCCCGTGTCGGGGTGCAGCCCAGCCTCCTCAGCCCGCCCACCCGCACTGCCACCTTCCAGCAGCGGTTCGACGCCCGGCAGAAGATCGGCCTGGCAGATGCCCGCCTCAAGCTGGGAGTCAAGGACGCCCGGGAGAAGCTCTTGCAGAAAGATGCCCGGTTCCGGATCAAAGGGAAAGTACAGGACGCCAGGGAGATGCTGAACTCCCGCAAGCAGCAGAGCGCGGTGGCACAGAGGCCCCGGCAGGTGGCTGACGCCCGCGAGAAGATCAGCCTGAAGAGGAGCACGCCTGCCGCCTACCCGAGCCTGCCTGTGGGGACTGTGACCCCCGCCCTGAAGCTCACCAAGACCATCCAGGTAGGGCTGGCGGCTGGGTGTGTCCCCAGCAGGCCAGGTGGGAAGCTGCAGGGTGCGAACGAACAGTTGGGCCAAAGTAAAACGCTCCCTGATGTCGGTGCAGCCATCTGCGGGGGTCAGGACTGGCATCCTGGCCGCCCTTTCCAGTCCCCATTCCCAACCCAGCGGAGGAGGACAGTCCCTCTTCTCCTCTGCAGCATTGGTGGCAGGGCCTTAACTGAGCCCCATGGGCTCAGGCTGACCATGCTGTGAGGCCCACTCAGCGGGCACGGGTGCCACATGGCCACTACAGGCCACGTCCCTGAGCCCCGGGCAAACTGGTGACCACTGTTTGCAGGTTCCACAGCAGAAGGCCCCAGTGGCCCTACACGCCCATCCTGCTGGAATGAGGATCAACGTGGTCAACAACCACCAGGCCAAACAGGTGTGGGAACGTGTGTGTGTGTGTGTTCCTGTGTGCGTGTGCACGTGTGTGTATGTGTGTATACGTGTGTGTGTGTTTGCCTGCACATGTTGGACCTGGCTTAGTAGTTGATGAGTTTTAGGAAGAAACTTTTTAATGAGAGAAGGATGCATAAGAGACAGGCAAATAAAGGGCCAGGGGTTTGGCTCAACCGCACAAGCATTTTCCTGGCAAGCTGGAGGTCATGAGTGCCATCCCCAGTACAAAAAAAAAAAAAAAGGCGAATGTTCATTTCAGTACTGGGCATAGAACCCAGGAGTGCTCCACCACTGAGCTACATCCACAGTCCTTCACATTTTGAGGTGTGGCATACTCTACCACTACCCCTATTAGTTTTTTGTTTTAAAAATTCCAAATATTTGATGTAGAAGATTTGCGGTAATAGAAAATAACTGAGCATGGTGGTGCACACTGTAATACCGGCATTCTGGGAGGATGAGGCAGGAAGATCATAGGTACAAGCCCAGCTTGGGGAACTGGAGATCCTGTCTCAGAATTCTCAAAAATAGATGGGGGTCCAGATGAGTGCAGAGGCGCTGGGTTCCGTCCCTGGTGCCACATGGAAACGAAGGAAAGAGGGCCTCCTGGCGCTGTTCTCCAAAGCCGGCCGCTGTGAAATGTGCTGTAGGCCACCCTGGGTTTTTGGGAATTAACTTGTTGCTTGAGCTCTTGGAGTTAAGCTGGAGCCTTGGCATTAACCTGCATCTCCAGCCCAGCCCATCCTTCACTCTCTTAATCTTGAGGCAAGAGTCTGGCTGCCAGCTCACGCATGCCCGAGCACCAGTCCCGGGCTGTTCCCCCTAATGGTCTCTCTTCCTCAGCAGCAGAGGGAAGTCCAGACTCAGGGTTCCAAGCATTCCCATTTCTAGATGGAACAAATCGTAGTCTCCATTTAAGGGGTGGAATTGGCCTTGACAGTTGGAGAGATCCCCACATAATCCCCCCCTTCCCCCCCCCTGCCACATCCCTTCCAGGGTGGCCCTGAGGGCCCAGCGGTCCCCCAACTCCTGGCCCCCTGAGTTAGCAGGTGCTGTTGGGGGGCTGGCTGTGGAGGGTGAATGGATAACTTTGCAGGGTTCCTTAGAGAAGTGACATGGCTTGGGGGCAATTCAGGGACCTTGCCTCTGGGAGATTTAAGGGTTGGAAAAGAACCTTCAGTCACCATGGAAACACATGTGGGAGGGTTGGGGCGGAGTCCAGGTCGCAGTGGTAGGCGCCTGCCGTCCCTCCCTCCCTCCCTCCGTGTGGGAGCTGCTGAGAACACCTGGAGTCCCACCTGGCTATGGGCAAGCTGTGTCTCTGGAAGGTGGCCCCTCGTGTCCCTGCACGTAGTTCCACGTGGCCCAGGCGCCTTCCCCGTCACTGTCTGGCCACCCACATCCCAGAGTGCACGGAGTGTGACCTGACTCCCAGCTCTTGCGTGCAGGTTGCTCAGATCGGGGATGGTGAAGCTTGTGCCCAGCCTGTGCCACCTTTTAATTTGTGTTTTTATTTTGTAGCTGAAGCGTTGTGGTGTTCACATTTTCTGTGAACAGTTGTTAGTGGTTGCGTGGTCACTCAGGTGCGACTGCAGTTTCTCCCTCGTTTTAACCATTAGAAGTCTTTATGGTGTGAACATCTTTGGGGAGGAAACGTCCTGGGCTTGGTGGCCCCGGTTCCCTGGGGTGGCCTTTCCAAGCCAAAAGCAGGGCCGCGTGTGGAGCTGTGAGGGGCAGGGGGTATGGCTATACCCTTGCGTGCTTGTGCCTGCACCCTGGGGCTCACAGGGCCCGGATGCCTCCAGTGACTTACTTCCTGGGGCATTCCTGTCGTGAAGCTGTGGTTGTAAATGCATTTCAGAGAGAGGCAGCATCCGCAGTGCTCCTGTGGCCTGCGGGGGTCGCCCTGAGAGCACCCGAGCCCCGGCTGCCCCCTCACCCACCCTCCAGCAGCGTTGCCTGCTGTGCTGTGGCCTGCAGGCAGCGTTAGCAGATGCCCCTTCCTTCTCAGAACTTACACGACCTGGACGAGGAGGAGGAGGAGGTGGCGGCGCACGTCCCTACCAAGCAGATGAAGTTCGCAGCCTCCGGCAGCTTCCTGCACCATGTGGTACGGCGCCCTCCTCTGCTGCCCCTTGCACCTGGCGGTGGGGCGAGCAGTCAGCCCCTGTCACACGCGGGTCCCACAACGGGTGCCCCACAGAGCTGCAGCTGCCGGGCGCAGTCCCAGGCACGGGCGGGAATTGGTCTCGCACTGCTTTCCTCTGCCGCTGCTTCCGGTTGTGGAGGCCGGAAGTCATCACGAGGGCGGCATTCTGGTGTCCGCAGTGACTCCTGACAGTGCCCCCTCTTAGTACCATCCCTGTGGAAATCAGATGCAACATCAGTTTCAGAGGGGACAGCAAAGCCAAAGCCAGGAGAGTCCCGCCGTAAGGGCTTATCAGTGTCCTTCTTTCTGCGGGGACATTGAAGCTGCTCCCGGGTCAGGAACTTGGGCTCGCCCTTGGATTCAGGGTTCCCTGGGCTGGGGTTAACAGGTAAGGAGCCCTGTTAACCCCACAGGGACCTGTGAGCTCCCGTGGGAGTGGCTTCGTGGGGGAAGTTTGCAGTTAGGGTGCCAGTCTTCCCCGAGTCACCTGAGGCTCGGAGCAGCTCCCCAAGCAGGCATCTCCTTTCTCTCCCGTGGCCTGAGGACTGTCCTGGCTTTGGTCTCCTCTGATCGGCCCCCCTGGGTCCAGCAAACTCCTTCAGTGCTGGGAGGAGCCGGGCATTTGGCTCTGCAGGAAGCAGCCTTTGCAGTGATCAGATCCTGGGGTATGTGGGGGGCGGGGGTGACGGGCTGGCCTGGTGATGGCTGCCCTCAGGGAAGCAGTAGCCCTTTAGCTCACTCGGGACTCGCTGCCCCAGCCAATGGCCCTGGTGCGCTGGTTCACAGGTCGGGAGGCCGGCGGGGAATGTTAGGAAGCGCACCTGGGCACGCATCTAGTTGTTGAGCAAAGTTATGTCCCTGGTACGTCGGGACCCTGCCTTGTTGTGGTTCTTGAGCTGCAGGAAGTGGCTGGAACTGTGGAACTCGGTGGGGTGCTAGTGGGGAGCTGACCACACCTCATAGAGCCTCTGGTTGCTTCGGCCTGCCCCTCCCTCCCTCTTGGTGCCTGTCCGGAGTCAGACCACTCACCAGTCTCCCATGGCTCCCCCAGAACCCTAGTCAAGAGGAGTTTGTGTTTCTGTGGGGCTGTGTCCCTGGCTCGGGTGAGGACTGCTTCTGGTGGTCTGCATGTCCCTGGTCTGCCTGCTGCTGAGGAGCCCAGGACTGCGTGGTAGCTGTGTGTGCACATTAGGCTCCAGGAAGCTGGGACTTTGGGCCATCTTAAGGGCAACTTCCTGTGCCCCGCCAGCCTGGAGAAGAGCCCACAGGACAGCGAGCTGGCCTCAGGCTTTGGTGCTCTGAGCAGCCTGGCAGGCAGGGTATGGGGAAAGTCTGTGCAGCTTGGCTTCCACCAGGGGCTGGTGCCGCAGCAGCAACTGCTGTGATCACGTCTTCGGCATGTCCACTCTCTCCCCTCGGGGCGCCCCTGGCAGCCTTTTTGCTTTGGACTAAGGAAGGCATTGTGGGTATACGCACTCAGGTGCCGTCGCCCAGGCCTGTGTTTGGGAAGAGCGGGGCGCTGGCCTCAGCTTCCTGTCTGCCTCTGCAGACCGGGCTGAGCAGTTCCAAGGCCCTCCCTCTCACCAAAGTGGTCCAGAACGATGCCTACACCGCTCCTGCGCTCCCCGCCTCCGTGCGGACAAAAGCCTTGACCCACGTGTCCCGGACGCTGGTGAACAAGGAGGAGCCCCCCAAGGAGCTGCCACCGGCTGAGGTGAGCATTGCTGTGTGGGCAGTGTGCTGTGTGCGCCCCAGTGGGTCCTCAGTCCTGTGAGCCAGAGGGCTTGCTGCCCACCTCAGCACTGGGGAGGCCCAGGCCTTCGATTAAGGTGTGCAGGGGTGCAGGGAGGGTTTCCTGCAGCCCAGAGGGGAGGCAGAGGAGAGGAGCCGTGGAGCGCCTAGGGCCAGAAGGGCGCATGGGGGACCTTAGTGCAGCGCCCACCCTGCCTGCTCACACCCTTGTCTGTGCGCAGCCTGTCCTCAGCCCCTTGGAAGGCACCAAGATGACTGTGAACAACCTGCACCCGCGGGTCACCGAGGAGGACATTGTCGTGAGTACTGCGTGCTGCACGCTTTAAGTCTCAAACTGCCATCGTGGCTTAGGAGCCCAGGACCACCCCATGTGGTAACTGCGGGGCCTCACGGCTCTGGGGGTCCCAGCTGGGAGCCAAGGTTCATCCCTGCTCAAGGACAGGCGGATGCCAGCCCAAGGAAGAGGACAGGCCTCAGGGGACCAGTGGTGGCGCCCCAGACAGGGCTTTCCCAGGAGGCAATCACGTGGGCCTTGTCTGCCTGGGGAGCACCAGGATGCCCAGGGGGAGGGCAGGTACTGTGAAGTGCGCTGAGAGGGTCTGCAGGGAGCCACAGCCACAGGCTTTACTGCTGTTTGGGGCAGGGTCTTGCTGTGTTGCCAGGCAGGGCTTAGACTTGTAGACCTCCTGCCTCAGCCACCCAGAGTGCTGGGGTTACAGAGGTGTCTTGGTTACTTTGCTCTCATTGCTGAGACAAAGTACCTTTGCCCAACATGAATGAAGGAAAGGTTTATGTAGCTTACAGTTTGTGGAGGCTTCAGTCATACTCAGTCCAGGGCGGGGTGGCCTGGCTGAGGGACAGCCGTTCATGGCAGCCACAGGTGACAAGAGTGCAAGGGCGGAAGTGGAAGAAACACGTGTCCTTCCCTCCTTGTACTGTATGCTGGCTCCACCGCGGGGAGGCACTCCCTGCCAGTCCCAGCCCTAGACAATGAACCAATCACAAACGCTAGATTCAGCAGCCTCCATGAAGGCATAGGCTTGGGCAGCCACCTAGACACAAACCAGAACAAGGTGTGTGTCGTCCCCCAGCTCTGCTGCCCTGTGTCTGTGCCCTGGTGGCTCCTACATGGGCTCTTTCCTTGCCGTGAGCAGCATCTAGTGGCGGAGTCTCCCCGTCTCCCGCACTCTGCCACCTGGCCCGTGGCACAGAAGCCCGTCTTAGAGAAGCCTGATGGGGCGGCTGCCTTGTGGTCCGTCCTGTTTTATCCAGGTCCTGTGTCTGGAGAATGCAGTCAGAATTGGCCAGGTTTCCTGTTCCGCCTCACTTTCCTTAGGCACTTACGTGTCCCTGTGCCCTTTGCGTGGTGGCATCCTGACATGAGTGCAGCTGGCTCAGTGGGTGGGCAGTCTCGGCTGTGGCCTTGGCTCAGTGCGACCAGCTGTCCCAGCGTGACCAGGACACTCCTGGGTCCAGTGCTCAGTCCTGCTTGGGACAGTTGCTCATGGTCTCCCATGTTCTGGGGAGACATTTAAGAGCCAGGCCTCTTGAGCCTGTGCGTCCGAGCTCACAGCACAGCTCAGGGTGGCTCCCTGACCGCCACCCTCCCAGCAGAGTGGAGAGGTTGGGCGGTGGCTCGGAGGGAGGTCCCTGGCACCCCACAGCAGCATGCCTGGCCAGCCTGGCCCTCCGGTAGGGCCATGTGGTCTCAACACTGGAACCTGAAGAGCGTGCTGCCCAAGACCTTGGCGTCACAGCACCCTGTGTGGCGCGGTCCCCTCAGCCCGGCCCTGTCCTCACAGGAGCTTTTCTGTGTGTGCGGAGCCCTCAAGAGAGCCCGTCTGGTCCATCCTGGGGTGGCCGAGGTGGTCTTCGTGAAGAAGGATGACGCCATCACTGCATATAAGAAGTACAACAACCGCTGTCTGGACGGTGAGTGGGCGCAGCCGCCTGGCCTCGCTCTCCTCCCAGGCAGCCACCCTGCCTCGGCCTCCCCTGTGCCGGAGCAGGCAGCGCAGGCTCTGAGCAGCTGGAGCCTCCCGGACATGGGCCGCTCCAGGGCTGGAGCCTCGGTTCGTCCCATCATGTCTTGGGGAGCTCTGCTCCTCCCAGCGTGGCCCTGCAGGGGTGGGCTCTGTCCGCACCGTTGGCCACGCACCGGTTCTTATGGGTTCATGGACTGCCTGCTGTGGGCCCGGGCCTGGTGCTGGAAGTGGGGAGCAGAGATCGAGAAAATCACAGCCGGGACAGTTTGCTTACATTTCCTGGGCGGCTGCTAAGCGAGCTGGTTGCCACCTATCCGTCTCTCTTTCCTTTTTTCCTGCCCCCCCCCTCCCTCCCTCCCCCGCCTCCCTCCCTCCCTCCCTCCCTCCCTCCCTCCTTCCCTCCCTTCCTTCCTTTGTTGTGATACAGGAGTTTGATCAGGACCCCACACTGAGCTGCCCCCCTCCCAGGTTTTAAATTTCCAGGCAGGGTCTCACTGCACTCAGAATTTGCCAGCCGTTAGCTTCAGCCTCCTGAGCAGCTGGCATTCCAAGCTTGTGCCACCACCCCAGGCTGCTTCTGTAGGTTTTAATAGGTCGTGTCGATTTCTGTTCCTATTGAAGTGCTTTCTAATCTCTTTTGATTTATTTATTTATTTGCTTTGTTTTGTTCTTTTGTCTTTTTGAGCCAGGGTTTCAATGCGGTCCATGCTGACCTTAAACTCACTTTGTAGCCCACACGGTCCTCAAACTCACAGCAATCCTCCTGCCTCAGCCTCCCGAGTGCTAGGATTACAGGCGTGTGCCACCACACATGCCTTTATTTTTGAGAGTTGTTTAACCTGCTCAGATTGAGGAACTTCTCAAAGTTTCCTCCTCATGAGGAAGGAGAGTGTGTGCTCTGCTGCCCTTGTGCAGAGGGCTCTGTGACACCTATGTGTGGCATGTGCAGTGTCCTTAGTCTTCTGGTTCAGTCTTGGTAGGCCTGCTGGTTCTAACCTTTTTCCCAGTCTTTTTGAGACAGGTCTCACTGTGCAGTTAAGGCTGGCCTTGGGCTCACTTCGTACCAGGCTGGTCTCTGATTTGGAAGGGTCCTCCTGCCTCAGCCTTCTGAGTGCGGGGATTACAAGTGTGCAGCGCCGTGCCTGGCTTTCGGTTCTAGCCCTTTTGCCCGGAGTACCGAAATCTTCAGCCATTGGTACTATCTTATCTCTTCATTTCTCTTAGCCTTTATTTTACGGATTTCTTTTAAGAAGAGGTGGTTGGTTTTGTCTCGTGTGTTTTGTGTATTTGAGGCTCTGTTGTTACTTGGATTTGTGTTACGGTTTTTCCCCTAATGATGCAGCCCTGTAGCAGTTGAAAGCGCCCCGTTTTTTCTTGCCATACTTCTTGGTTGTCTGAGGCTCTCTGGCTCCGTGCTTCAGGCCGGCCTGGACCTCAGGGCGGAGCCACTGAGCGCCAGCCTTTTGCAGCACCTTTAGAAGCCTTTTTGTCTCTGCTTGGTGTCGCTGCTTCTCAGTGGCACTGACATGCATCTCCCTCTGTGCTTGCCCCTTCCACCCCGCTGCTGTGGGAAGCCAGGTGTGTCTTGCGTGGACACTGTGGGCAGCGCTGCGGTTCTGGTTTAGACCCCAGCTCGGGCAGCCTCTAGCGCAGTTCTGTATCAGGAAAAAGAAAGCAGAGGGTTCGTCCGGGTTCCCCTGGGGTTCAGTGCAGCGGGTGACACTGCTGCAGGAGCCCCTGCCAAGGGACCTCATGGGAGAAGCCCGGGAGCATTGGGGCCCCCGGGAGTGGCCTGAGCAGGGATGGGGAGGCCGGGAGGCTGGGAGGTGATGTGCTGGGCCTGTCTCCCTCTGCTTTTCCAGGGCAGCCCATGAAGTGCAACCTTCACATGAACGGGAACGTGATCACCTCGGACCAGCCCATCCTGCTGTGAGTGCGGGGCTGTGTGCACCTGTACCCCTGCTCTGGGAGCTGCGAGAGCTCAGTGGGACGCTTCCGCCCCGGGGCTGGCAGCCATCCTTACCTGCTTGAGTGGGGAGAACTGTGGGTGGCCCCGCCCAGCTGCATTGTGGGCATGGCGCCCTCGAGCTGTCCTGCAGCTGGAGCTCATTTGAAGGCCAGCTGGCATCAGACGCTGGGCTTGGACACCTGTAGACACGGAGGCAGATACGAGGGCAACTGAGTTGTAGGGAGGTGGACGGTGCAGGGCGAGCCCTGATAGATAGGCTCTGATGTTAGAGAGACCTGGGTTTAGACTGGGAACATCTTGGAATTCGGACTGATTTCCAGAAGCAGGTTGTATTCTAAATTTTTTTTTTTTTTTTTTTTTTTGGTGGGGAAGGGTACAGGGTCTTGCTGTGCAGTTCAGGCTGGCCCTGGGCTCACTTTGTAGCCCAGACTGGTCTCGAATTTGCACTGATCCTCCTGCCTCAGCCTCCCCACTGCCGGGATGAAAGTTTGTGCCACACCCTGCCTGGCTCAGGCTGGGCTTGAAACTCCAGCAGTCCTCCAGGCACAGCCTCCTGAGCGCCGGGATCACTGGTGTGCTCTGCCAAGCCCACTTGGTTAAAGCCTGGGGGAGTGACGCAGTGGCAGTGCACTTGCCTAAGGGGCACAGCAGCTCGCTCACTTCCCCACACCTGGGAAACTTGCTTTTTAGGGCTTTCTGACCTGTGAGTTTGGGGATCTTGCTCTAACCAGGGCCGTCTCCCCACTTGGGCGATGCGCAAGATGTCCCGATCTTAGAGGAAATGCAGGGTTTCCTAAGCTTACAGCTGCAGGGTACAGCAGGCTGCACCCCACACTTCTCAGTGTGACTAAGGAAAACAGCAGGTTTGCTGCAGAGGAGAGGAGAGGACACCCGAGACAGGTGTCCTGGGGCCTGTGTGAGGTCCCCTCCCTGGCTGCTGGGCCCTGAGAGCTTTCTCTTCCTCGCTGTGCACAGGCGACTAAGCGACAGCCCCCTGGTGAAGAAGGACAGTGAGCTGCCTCGGAGGCTGCCCTCCGCCGCCTCTGCCAACCCGCCCGCCGAGGTGGACCCGGACACCATCCTGAAGGCGCTGTTCAAGTCCTCGGGGGCCTCCGTGACCACACAGCCCACAGAATTCAAAATCAAACTCTGAGCGGCAGCGAGGCGCGGAGGGGCAGAGTGGGGCAGCCCCATTCCAGGCTGAGCTGGTGACCAGCGGTCATTGAACTGCAGCCCCTAGCGGGGGAAGGTCGCTGGGGTCAGGCCTCCTCGCCAGATGGGACCCACCCCTCTGTGTTGTGTCCCCCTGTGTTATCTGCGTGTCCACATTTCCTGTAGTATGTCCTCCCTCCTCCACCTGTCTCCTGGGCAGGTTGTGTTTCGAGGTGTCCCCCGCCCTGCCCCCAGCCGGTTGCTGACCTGGAGGCGGTGCACTCAGTGGTCCGGGGCGGCACTGTGTGAGACGCCACCTCTCAGGCCTGGAGCTGTGCGTGTGGGAGCCAGAGTGGCTCAGGGGCAGTGCCTCGAGCCCAGTGCCCACCTGCCTGGTGGCGACGGCCTCACAAGGTCACAGCCTTGTCCTTTCGCACAGTGGCCCCTGCCCTCAGCCGGGCAGCCTGGCCTATCACAGTTCTGCCTTGCCTTCTGTGGCTCTGGGCCATCCGATCAGGCCCTGCTGCTTCGTTCGTGGCAGTGCCTTTCCGGCCCTGGGCCCCAGCAGCACGACTGGGAGTGGGAGTGACCCCTCTGTTGGGCAACAAGAAGCTTCCCTGTATGGGGAACAGGCCATGCCCTAGGCCCGCAGCACCTGTGTCAGTCCCCTAGTGGGGGCTGCAGGCTGGTGGGGCTGTGGCCTCTTGGTAGGAGCAAGTCTGGGGATCTTGTAGAAGTAGCAGTGTGTGCAGGAGGGGGGTCGGTCCAGAACTTGGGGAGCCTGCCCAAGGGCGTCGCGCCTGCTGGGCAGGGGTTCCTGTTTGCACCCAGTTTTGGTGCTAGGTTCTGAGGCCGTCCACACCTGCGAGTCCAGGAAAGGGGCCTGGTGGCTTCCCTTACCTTCCTGAACTCTGAGCTGCTGCTTCCCGCCCCAGCGTGACCGATGCCTCTCTTGCAGCTGGAAGACATTCCTCCCCCTCCAGCCCGGCCCTGGGCCCTGGCACCCGGCTTCTCCTATAGGGGACAGTTGGCGCCTTCAGTCCGAGTAGGGGTGCACATGCTCTCCTCTCCCCTTCCCAGCCAGCTGGCTCTGCTCACCGAGCTCCTGGCCACTCAGTCCACTGCAGGGAGGGCACTTTGACTGCCTGCCCTGCTTGGTGTCACCTTGGCAACTGGAGGGAAGCTGTGGGCAGTGCTGCGGCCTCACCTCCCCACATCACTCATCTGTGTTGTTCAGAAGGCGAGGAAGAGCAGGGGTGAAGGCGACTGTATTACTTACTCATTTCTGAATAAACATTTGTTATTCCTACCTGGCTACTGATTGCACAAAAGACTGCACCAAAGTGGCTTTGGCAGGACCCAGTACCAGGAAGCAGGAGTTTGCCAGTATACTGGGCTGCAGGACCCTGGCTGCACAGCTGTGAGCTCCACAGCATGGGGGCAGTGTCCATGGGACACGCAGGGCTTCTGGGGCTCCCTGGAGGGTGAAGGGATGAGCATCACTGGCTGGCATTACCGTGGCATGAGAAGTGGGTGGGTCGGGGTTGGCTCCTCCCACTGAACACAGCCTTGGGCAGCTTGTAAACACCTAGTTAAGGTGGCTCTGATCTTTGTTTTCTTGCATATAAACTCTAGAATTCAAAAGCAAGGCTGAGGTGGAGACAAGCTGGGGACCTCGGGATCTAGGAAATAAGCAGCTCTATCCTGAGAAGCCAGCAACCTGGACACCTTCCTAGGCCGGATGCAATGGCATCCTTCGGAAGGTGACCTGAGGTGGCCATGTTGTAACTGAAAGTCACTCCACCAAGAACCAGGAAAATCTCAGAAAGAGGATGGGTATCCGAACTAAGATGGGAATCTGGGAATTAAGGAAAGGATGCCTTCTCAGGTGACACTAGAATTCACTGCAAGCAGATTAACCTTAAAAGAATGACTGAACGGGCTGGGGATTTAGCTCAGTGGCATAAGCACCTGCCTTGCAAGCACCCTGGTACCAATGACAAAAAAAAAATGACTAAAAAAAACAACTTGTAATGCCAATTACTCAGCAGGCTGAGACAGGAAGCCCACGAGTTTAATGCCATTTGGGCCACTGTAGAGAAAATCTGCATAAAAGGTAAAAAGCCAGCTGTGGTGGTAGATGCCTGTAATCCCAGCACTAGGGCAGCTGAGGCAGGAGGAGCTCCCTGACCTCAAGTCCAGTCTGGGCTACATAGTTTGTCAGCCTGCACTATACAGTGAGACCGTGTCTAAAATCCAAAACAAACAAACAAAAAACCGGAAAAGTCAAAAGAAGAAAATGGGGTGGGGACGACGTCATAAGACCATGGCTAAATTCTTGAGTTTGTGGTGCAGGGACTTGAACCCAGGGAACCTCAAGTCTTAAATGTTTTGATTGACACTTGAAGCAAAATTACATCTCATGTCCTCAATGTATGCAGAGGAAGTATTTTAAAGTTATAAATGGGAGAGAGGTGGAGAGGAAGTTTCTAAACTGTACTTACAATTCACAAATGTTGCTGATGCTGGTCACGTGTATATTAGGCAGTTCTTAGAGCAGTTCCTAAAGATAAATACATCCAGGAACCCTACAGCGGGGTCACAGACAAGAGGAGCGAGACACAGAGGCCCACAGGATCACTGCGTCTCCTGGGCGTGTGAGACCACAGAGTAATGAAACATCCCCTGTGCTGTCTCCAAATACAGCGGAGGCAGTGGTGGGAAAGGGAAAGGGAAAGCCTCTGGCCACAGCGGGCATGCTCACATCCGCCGGAGCCTGAGCAATTGCCCACCTGGAGAGGGAGCTGTGTGATGAGCTACCACCACCCAGTGATTGGCAGAAATGCAATCCATTGTTCACTCTCCCGCCACATCAGAGTTGGGCTCCAACGCTGAGCCTGAGGCATGCTAGGTAAGCATTGTACTCCCAAACTGCACCCCAGCCCCAGTGTCCTCCGCTACCAATGAGTACAAGGACTAGATAATCAGCGGGAATAGAGAACTAACTTACCTCCAGGCCACAGGGTCCCATCTATGCAGAACATGCCCTCATGGGCGCGATGTACATTCTTTTCAAGTGTGCATGGTATACATGCAGACCATCATGTGGGTCATCTAACGAGATCCATCAACTGATCACAGTGGCACGCGCCTGTGATCCCAGCACTTGGGAGGCTGAGGCAGGAGTCTGTCTGAATCGGGGTAAGACTGCACCTTCGCAGTAACAGAGGACACATACACGGTATCTGTTTCTCTTCCCGTGAGAATTTAAACTCTAGAAAGACGACGTGTTTTCGGTTTTGTCTTTTTTTTTTTGGTGCCGGGGATCGAACTCACGACCTCACACTTGCTGGTTTTCTGTGTTTAAGCGCTTAGACAGTGCCTGCAAAAGGAAAGACAAAAGAGAAGAAGACGGATGAGATGAAATAAGGAGAAATGAGAAGATTAGGTTCACATCCTTGAGCCCCCAAAATCACCGCCCACTTTTACTTTGGGCAAGGGAAAGTTGGGTTCCGGGGGCGGGGCAGGGCTGGACCAGCGGGGCAAGCCGAACGGAGGGGCGGGGCCACGCGGCGCCGTCGCTGTAGAAACGCGCACGCGCCCTGCGTCGAACTACATCTCCCAGTGGCCCCCGCGCTTCCGTCCGGTAAGATGGTGGCGCGCGGAAAGAAACGCGCGGCGCGGGACCGGGAAACTCGGATCCCGAGCCCGCCGGGCTACTCAGGTGAGCAGGTCAGGGACTCGAGGCCAGGGACGGTCAGGCTTCTGTAGGAGCTGGTCTGGGGACTGTCTGTGGCTGGATGGGCGCGGGTCCCGTGGACCCTTGGCCCCGGCCGCTCCGGAAGCCGGGGGACTAAAGACCCACGCGGGGTTCCTCTCCAGTCTGTGCGCTCCCTCAGCCGCGCGAGCCTCACCGGGTGCTGGCGTTCCTCGGGAAGACGGTCCCTCGCCGGGCGCGGTGCCACCACCCTGACACTATGCGTGCGTTTTCCATAGTCGATACAAGTGGTTATCATTGTCTAGTTCTTGACGGTATGAGCTTCCTAACCCAGGGGTGGTGGTTCATACCTGTAATACCAGCACTCGGGAGGCCAAGGCAGGAAGATCTTTGCACAGTCAAGGCCAGCCTGCAATACGTAAGACCCTGTCTCATAAAAACAATGTGAGCTTCCTGAATGTGGGGACTGGACCTGTATCCTCAATGTGGGGAAAAAAAGGCCAGGAAACAGCCCCCAGCTTTATAAAGATTAGCATTTATAGAATGTCAACGATTAACCAAAAGGCCCCACCACAGTCTGTGGACCTACAGACTGCTAGGCCTGAGGGATTAGGGTGAAGATCTAGCCCTATCCAGGAAGGGAGAGGGTTCATGGTGCAGAGAGAGCGGCAAGTGGGAAGCTAGCATCGGGGTGGTGAGGATGGTGGTGCCAGGTGGGGTCACATATGGTGTCCCCGGAGGCCAGGGTTCCTGTTCCGGCACCTGTCCCATGAGCCACAGATGGGGTTCCCTCTCACTGTGCCCCATCCATCATAATTACCAGCTGCACGTGTTCTCCCAACAGGCTAGAGGTGTTTGTGGGGCAGAGAATAGATTCTCTATTAGTCACTCTCAAACCTGCACAGGCTTCATTCACCTAGGAAGAGGGCTCAGTGAAGGATGGAGGGAAGGACAGACTGACAGGACGAGGGAGGGACACGGAGTGTGAGTTAGGTGCCGACCTCGGCGCAGGGCGGTCTGAACTCATTACTGCCCCGTCTCCCTTCCAGCCATTCCAATCAAGTTCTCAGAGAAGCAGCAGGCTTCTCATTACCTCTATGCCAGGGAGCACAGAGTTCGCGAAGGCGCCCAGTCCAGCTGGCCTCAGAAGCGCACCCTGTTTGTCCTCAATGTGCCCCCATACTGCTCGGAGGTGAGCGCCCAGCCTCTTGCGGGAGAGGGCTCCCTGGCCCCTATAGCACCTTGGGAGTGACTAGGGATTGCTGATGGAGCCCCAGCGGGCAGTGCCAAGAAGCTATCTCTGTCCCTTGTGGCAGGAAGTTGGCTTTTTTAAAATGGCATTCCAGGACTGGAGATTTAGCTCAGCAGCATAAGCTCCTGCCTTGCAAGCTTGCAGTTGTGAGTTCAATCTCTGGTACAAAAAAAAAAAAAAATTAAAATAATAAAAATGGCATTCCAAAGTGGGTGTGGGTGGCACATGCCTATAATTCCAGTACTCTTGGAGGCTGAGGCAGGAAGATCACAAATTAAGCCTCATGTGGGCAATTTAGCAACTTGGGAAGGCCCTGTCTCAAAATAAGAAAATGAGCAGAAGGGCTGGGGTGGATGTAGCTCAGTGTGAGGGCCTGGGTTTAGCCCTCAGTACCAAAAGACAAAAAGGGGGGCGTTGCTAATGGGGCGCAGCACCTAGAGAGGGAGGGGCTGGGCTATCTGTTCAGCACCTGGCTGCTAACAGCCTGGACATACTGTGTAGTCAGCACCCTGACAGAAGTGCCCCAGTCCCCAGGGGCCCCCTGATGTCCCTCCTAGCAGGGATCGCACTGTCCTCATTCTACCAGTGTAGATCTGACTGTGTTTCTGACTCAGGTTGTAAAACTTCCTTATTTTATAAAATCAGAGTAGCACCAGAACTGTCCCCATCCACCTTAAACCTTGGGCACGGGGGCACCCGTGTCCATGTTGTCCCCGGGGACCCAGTTAGCCCATGTCACAGGCATAGGACTGTCCCAGGCTGGTCCCAGGGAGGTCCCAGGCTGATCCTGCTGTCACTCACTCTGCTCCCCTTGGCTTGGCAGGAGTGTCTGTCACGCCTCCTGTCCCCCTGCGGCCCCATCCAGTCCGTAGAGCTGCAGGAGAAGCCGGACCTTTCGGAGAGCAAGAAGGAGCCGAAGTCCAGGTTTTTCCACCCCAAGCCCATTCCTGTAAGGCCCCCAGTCCGAGTCCCACAGCCTTGGGTACTGGGCGGGCCAGGGTGGTGTCCCAGTATGTGTGGGGACCTCGCTGGCATCAGGGCTTCCCGAGTGGTCCTGGCTGGGCTTGGGTCCCTGTCCCCGGGTCCCTGCTGGACATTTGCTGTGCCCAACATTGAAGCCCAGGCACTATCTCTGCCCCCCCCCCGCCCTGCATGGCCCTGTACCCCTGCCTGCTTCCCACTGATCCCCAGTCCTCAGTCCCCAGTAGCACTGGTCCTCCTGTGTCCCCTGGTCCCATGAGCCCACAGCTCCCCTGGTTCGAATGCCCCTGACCCTCCTGCACCACACCTGGCTGCCAGGTACCTGCCCTGGCCGGGATGAGCACGCTTTTCACCTCATCCCTCCAGAAACACAGGAAGTTTTGAAAGTGACTCCTTCCTGTGGACGTAGGTGGCTTTGATCATCCTTGGTCCTTGGAGCAGCCACCTCCCTTGTCTAGCTCTGTGGTTGGGTGAGGTAGCTGGGGACCCCATGCCAGGCATGGGGGGACACCCACACTGGCTGTGCCCCACAGGGCTTCCGGGTGGCCTACGTAGTGTTCCAGCGGGCCAGAGGAGTGGCCGCCGCCTTGACGCTGAAGGGCCCCCTGCTGGTCTCCACCGAGAGTCACCCCGTGAAAAGCGGCATTCACAGTCAGTACCGCAGGGCCGGGCTGGCACCCCCTCCTGGGATGGGTCAGTGAGGGCAGCTTCCTACGGACATATCTGCGTGGGCTGTGTCCTGCTGTGGGGACCTGGGCAGGCGGGGCCGAGTCTGTCAGCAGCTGGGAAACGCGGTAGGATCTGGCCTGCTGTCCTGGGGACCTTCTGAGCCCCTGCACCCTGGGCCACAAGTCTCTGCTCCCTGTGTCCCGTCCCAAGCTCCTGACCCTGTTGTGTCCCTGGACGCCCAGCCCCACCCCCTGAGTGTCCCCTGGGGCACGTGGCCTTCTTCTTCCCAGAGTGGATCAGTGACTATGCAGATGCCGTGGCCGATCCCGAGGCCCTGAGGGTCGAGGTGGACACGTTCATGGAGGCCTACGACAAGAAGATTGCAGAGGTCGGGGCTCCCAGGGCCACAAAGGGTCACCTGGAAGAGGGACACGGGACTGTGTGGTGGCCGCAGGGCGGGTGGGGCAGGCTGGCCCTATCGCTGGGTGGCATCCGGGCTCCCTTCTGCCTTGGGTGTCGTGGGCCACCTGGCTGGGTGAAGCAGACCAAAGGTCCAAGGGGTGGGAGGGAGGTGGCCTTGGCTCCTCTGCCACCCACTGTGCTTGGCCCAGCTCTGTGTCGTGGGGTGAAGGGGGATAATGGGGGGCAGCGCTCAGGGCAGGACGCAGTACGAGGGCCCCGCCAACCCCAGGACCTTGTCCCCTGCAGGAGGAGGCCAAGGCCAAGGAGGAGGAAGGGGTCCCCGATGAGGAGGGCTGGGTGAAGGTGACACGCCGGGGCCGGCGGCCAGTGCTGCCCCGGACGGAGGCCGCCAGCCTGCGGGTGTTGGAGCGGGAGAGGCGGAAGCGGGCGCGCAAGGAGCTGCTCAACTTCTACGCCTGGCAGCACCGCGAGAGCAAGATGGAGCGTAAGGAGTGGCCAGGGAGGGCGGCGGCCTTCAGGCCTCAGGCACCGGCACTGACACCGGGAGTGCTGGGACCTGCCTCTGAGGTGGGGACTCTGGGCAGCTCCACTGCAGCTTATCTCCGCCCAGGGTCCCTTGGGACCACAGTTCCAAAGGGGTTTGGTGGTACTGGGCCCTCGTCTGGGAGGCGCCAGCACAGTGTCCCCCTCTCTGCCTCTCACTGGCACAGTTTGTTCCCAGACTGCCAGCCCTGTCCTCTGAGCGCCCCATGGTGAAGTTGGTCCCCAGAGCAGGGGAAGCGAAGGGGGCCTGGTGTGCCTGGGAGACCACAGGTGCCACCTGATCCCCGTCCTTTGTCCTCCCATCCCCAGACCTAGCACAGCTGCGCAAGAAATTCGAGGAGGACAAGCAGAGGATCGAGCTGCTGCGGGCCCAGCGCAAGTTCCGGCCCTACTGAGCTGCAGGCTGCGGGGCCACGAGTGGCCTGGGTCCTGGGCCCTCGGGAAGCAGCTGCGACTCCACTGCCTGGAGGGACAGCCACCCTCTTCTCCCCGTCCGTCCCTCCGTGGGGACCCAGTGGCAGGGAACAGCCCGTGGAAGTGAGGGCAGAGACGCTTTGTTCCCTCCAGGTGGCAGCGCAGGGGCTCCAGAAACTCCACAGCCCCTGCCTCCTCCTGCATCCCCAGGCCCAGGCTCTTGCCTCTGTTTCATTTTTGAGGTCCTGGGCCTTGAACCCAGGCTGTTCACACCGAGCTATGTCCTCAGTCTTTTATTTTGAGGCGCTCTTGTTTAGTGTATATGCTGCGGAAGTGAGTACATTTTGAGACACTTTTGCTAAGCTGTCCTTGCTGGGTTTAAATTTGAGATCCTCCTGCCTCAGCTTCCCAGAGCACTGGGCTTATGGATGTGTGCCAGCACTGCCAGCTCTCTGTCCCCTTCTGAAGTCACTGATGTTCACCTCAGAACGTTATGTCCTCCTGGCTCCACCAGCGGATTCTGCTGTCTGTCTGGTCTCAGACCAGTGAGGCCTGACCCCTCCCTGGCCTGGGGCTGGGGGTCCGGGTGGAGGCTGGCAGGTCTGGGTGGTCCTGAGATCCCAGGGCAGAGGACCGGCTACTTCTGCCTGGGGACCCCTGCTGGCTGCACAGGAAGCTGCAGACACCCTTGACCGCTCCTGAGGCCCTGAGAGTCGAGGTAGACACGTTCATGGAGGCCTGCGACAAGAAGATTGATGACACCAGCCACGTGGTGGGATTTGTTGGACATAGTGATGGCCCAGGATGTAATGTTTGCCCACTATGGGGGGTGGTGGTGTCAGCACGAGAGATGTCCCTTGGGGTGACACCAGCAGTGTACAAGTAAACTGGGACCATGAAATAAATGCTAGGGATTCCGGGAGTGCAGGCCGGGCCCAGGTCACTGATGTGGGCAGAAAAATGATGAACTCCAAAAAATTTTAAAAAGCGCTTTATTAGCTGAACTCCACAGAGACACTGTCGCCGATGGCATGTGGGGAAGTGTGGGCCGGAGCTGGGGAAGGGGGGATTGCTGCAGGGAGCTGAGGGGTCAGGGTCTTGGGATCAGTTTGTCCCCATAAAAGGAACCAGGGAGGCGGAACAAGCAGTTACAGGAACCAGAGAGGCAGGGAGGGGTTACATGGTGAGTATGTTACAAGGTTGCACCTTAACTGGGAATTACACAAGCTTTACAGGAAGAGAACAAATAATAAGAACAGCACATTGTGGGTTTTTGAGCTTGTAACATTCCCCATTGCTTTTGGTCACTGAGTCAAATCTGACTCTTGCATAATTATATGTGGGTGCCTGGTTATATCCTTCTTGTCTAAGTATAAACCTTTTAACGGCTTGAAATCAGTCCTGGATGTGATTTAGAAGGCACTTTATAATTCATGGTCTGACGGTTAAAGCAAATAAGAAAACAGTTGGTCCCGTTAGAGCTGAGAGTAGGGTGGTCAGCCCTGGGACAGGACAGTTTTGGACCCAGTTTTGGTCAAGCTGTCATTGTTGCTCGCGTTCATGGAGTCTTTTTCTAAGCTTGTTTGCGCTGTCTCCTGTGACTCCAGAGTGACTGGCATAAAACAGCCAGCCTGTCCTAAGCGACGCATAAGCCACCTTTTGTCTGACAGCAGGTCCAGGCTCCTGTGGTTTGGGAGAACCGTTTCTGCCAGAGATGCGAGGGATTCTTCCAGTTTTTGTACAGAATGTTCTAGTGTTGCCAGGTCTTTGTGTATTAGGTCACTTAGTTCTTGGTAGTTTTGGTCACCAATTATTAAGCTTTAGCTCCCAATGCTGTGGCTCCAGAGAGACCCAGTCCCATCAACACTGGTATTAACACGGGGACTGCTGGAGCTGTCCTAAAGAGGTCGGATTCTAAGTGTCTTCCATTACTGCCAGAACACCAGTAAACTTGGGGAAATACATGTGCAACAATACATGGTTCAGTATGCCTAGTAAATATATCAAGCATGACGCCAGGAGTTAAACCTGAAGCACAAGCAAACCAAGATCTTGTCAGGACTTCCAGGTGTGGACTCCAAGCGTCAGAGACATCAGTTATTACAACAGAGTTAGGACAGAAGTTTGCATGCAGCTGGAGTCGGGGTTATAGGCAGCAGATCAGACACAAGCTCTATTACTTTGAACATTTTCTAAGAAAGATTATGGCTAAGGGCTGGGGATTTAGCTCAGCAGCGTAAGTGCCTGCCTTGCAATACGGTCATGAGTTTGATCCCCGGTACCCATAAAAAAAAGATTATGGCTAGCTAACAAGGCAAGCTGTGTATGACCAGCAAAGAGGATTTTCAAGAGCATTTTGATGATTTGAGGGGCTCTTGGGACTGTCCACTTACTTGTGTGTCCTGGGTATCTGGAGGGAGACCCTTGATGTGTGAGTCATGTATCCAGGTGGGTTTTCCTGCTACTGTGACTGCCGTAGGGGTGCTGAGGACAGTGGTGTCCAGTCTGGTCCAGTGAGGTCCAGTGAGGTCCAGGAGAAGAGTTGCAGGAACAGGGCTTAAGTAGCATTGGATCTCCTGGGCTTGTGGCCGGAGGGGTCTCTGGTGCACGTGGCTTGGCTTGGTGGTCTCGGGAGAGTTGGTGGCTGAAGGTCAGCACAGGCTGAAGAGCCTGCGGGGACTTAAACTGTGGTTAGCGGTCTCTGCCACATGGGTACTAGCAAGGTGGGGACGAGGGGTGTGGTCTCCCACAGACTGCCGCAGAAGGGGTTATTCCATTTATACGCGGAGGACAACATGCACACAGGAGGGCAAAAGGGAGGAAAGCACCCAGTTTTCAGCAGACTCTAAAACCAGTTTACTAAGCGTCTCTTAAAGTCCATTCACCCTTTCAAGTTGACCTGGACTGTGGATGGCAGGCGCAGTGAAATTTCCAGTCAATCTGTAATAACTGAGCAGCTTTTCTAGTGATGGGAGCTATGAAAGCTGAGCCATTGTCCGACCCTGTAGATAAGGGAAGGCCGGATCTAGGAATTATTTCACATAAAAGCTTTTTGACAACAGTCAAGGCTGATTGGGTCTTCGTCAGGTATCCCTCAGCCCATCCGGGGAAAGTGTCCCCCAGAACCAGCAAATACGTCCATGTAGTCCTGGTTTCCCATGCCCATGAAATCAATTTCCTGGCGTTCTGGAAAAGTTCCTTAGTATCGAGTTCCCTGTGAGACAGTGGTGACTTTGGTATTCACATACAAACATTGTGGGCAAAGATTTTGGATTTTTGAGCTTATAACAGTCACATCTCCAGCCCCGCCCCACCCCCACTCGGGCCCAGGACGTGGTGGGCAGGGGCAGCTTCTATGAGCCCATGTTAGTTTTGCCCCCCTGGGAAACGGATCCCCGAGGCCCACTGGCTGGTGGGTCATCTCCCTGCCTGGCAGGATCTTACAGGTGACCCCTTCCTGTCCAATTTGATGGCCCCCCTTCCTGTCCAATTTGATGGCCAGGACACAGGCCTGCAGCGAACTGCTTCCTGCTGAGGAAATCTAAGCAGAGCTCAGGCTGCAGACACAGAACCAAGGTGATGCCAGCCCAGCCTGTGCGCCACCTCCTGAGGCCTCTCCATGCCTCATGGCCAGGGACTCTGGTCTGTTCCAGGAGAAGACACTGGCTTGGACTGCAGGCTGGTGAGCCCTCTGCTGGCTACCGCCACAGGGTAAGGACACCGGCCACCTGAAGCCACCCAGAAGCGCTTTACTAGGAAAAGTGGTACAGCTGACTTGATTCAACCAGAGACCTTCACACTGGGCTGTGCCACCAGGGTTTGTTTCGTTTTGACTTTCAGATGGCCTTGCTAAGTTGCCCGGCCAGTGCTTGAATTTATGATTTTCCTGCCTCAGTCTTCCAGGCCACTGGGATTACAAGTGGGTGCCACAGCCTGGCTTGTTCATTACGTCTTAAAGTGCACACATGATGAACACATGGGCTTAAAGACAGAAGAATACTACTGTCGGGCTGCCTGGCAGAGGCTTCCCCAGTAGGTGTCTGTCGTCAGCACGGCAAAAGAAAAAAATTGAAATTGTTAATTTAACTTCACCTGTCTTCTTGTTGTTGCTTTGTTTGTGGAGATGGTTCGGTTTTGTAGCCCTGGCTGGCCTTGCGGCGATCCTGATCCTCCTGCGCAGCCTCCTGGGTGCTAACATTCCAGGTGTGCGGCTCCCTCCCCGGCCTGGGCGCTTGCTGAAGTAGCTGTGGTATAAGCAGAGTCCAGCTCACAAGGCCTTTCACACGTGGCCTTGGGGTGCGACCTTGATTCCTGGCCACTGAGTTGCCCCCGACGTTCCTCTTCAAGGAGGAGATCTGTCCTGATCTCCAGTCCCCTGGCGGGTTGTGCCTCTTGAGGGGCACACCTCGAGCCCTGTTTGTTGCTGGCTTCTCTGCACAGATGCACCTGTGTGAGCTTGGCATCGGGGCCTTTTATATAAGCATAACTGGCAGCCCCAAAGCAGGAGTCAGAAGAAAACACAGGAAAACCAGTGTGTCAGACGTGGCAGCAACGTTGGAGACCTGACTCCAAAGCCACAGAGACAGCAAGGGCCGAAGTGCAGACATGGTGGACTCTGTGAAATAAAGTGTACTCGGGAGGCTGAGGCAGGAGGATCGCAACTTACACCCTTCTTAAAAAAATAAAAAGGGCTGGGGATGTACCCCATTGCTCCCTGAATTCAGTCCCCAGTACTGCAAAAATTAATCAGGACTGAGGTTGCAGCCAGAGGACACAGTGCAAATCAAGCACACATGAGCTCTGGGTTTGCATCTCATACCACAAAACTGCCACCATCAATAAGTCAGGCCATTATACAGAAAAATGAATTTGAAGTGAAGCTGGGGCATGGGCAGCACCCCAGGGGCCACCCTCAGCCCTAAAACAAGCTGCAGAGCATTAAGAGCATGACAGCAATGTCAGGAAACCAAAAAGAGGCTGCTGAGTAGGGGGATAAGTGGGGGCCATGTGTGGGGGCTCACGCCTGTAATCCCAGCACTGTGGGAGGCTGAGGCAGGAGGATCACTATGAGTTTGAGCTACAAAGTTTGTAGCCTGCCTGGGCTACAAAGTGAACCCAAGGCCAGCCTGAACTGCAGAAAGACCCTGTCTCAAAAGGACAAAAAAAAAAAAAAAAAAAGAGCTGGGATTTAGCTGGGTGGCACAAGCACCTGCCTAGCAAGTGCAAGGTAGTGAATTCAGTCCCCAGAACAAAAAAAAGAAAAACGGCTTGGGCGGGAGCTGACCGGTGAGTGCTCCCTGCTAGCCTGGGTCCATCCCCAGAGAGGGGCCAGGTGTGGGGTTCAGCACTCCCCAGGCCACACGCCGGTCCCTGGTCAGCACCAGACCTGAGGGGGACAGGGCGTGATGGCGTGATGACAGGTGCCACCTGTCTGGAGGGGACTCCAGCCTTTGTGCCCTGGGGCTCGTTTCTCAGGTCCTCAGCCAGCCCGCACGCCCACCTTGGGACTCTGCCCATAGGCCACGGCCCATGCAGCCGGGCTGAGCAAAGTCTGATGACATTACAGAGCCTTCATCTCCGACAAACAGAAAATGGCCACTCGGGTTCCTCCGTTTTTCTTTTTTTTCATTGCCAGGGGTGATGGGGAACAGGGTCCCTGCCCTCAGCTGCATCCCCCCACCCCATCACTTTAATTTTCTTTCTTCCTTTTTTGTTTTAATCGGTACTGGGGATTGAACTCATGACCACCCGCTTGCAAGGCAGGCACTTAAGCCTCTGAGCTAAATCCCCAGCCCCCACTTTAATTTTCTGTTTCAGGTTGGATGGGGACAGAACCTTGCAGGCTGGGATTCCCGGCGAGCCTTGCTGAGTGACACCTGGGTCCCACAGGACCACAGCCACCACTGCGGTGGAGGCCTGGTCCCTCCTCCTGGTTCATTGCCTCCTCGGTCACACTGTCCCACACTGTGGTCACCCACGCCATGACCGCAGCCTGATCGGCCTCCCAGGACCAGCTGGGAATGTGTCTGGTCCAGTGCAGGCCGAGTCCTCTCTGAGGCCCGGGGCTTGGCCATCCATGGGGTTTTTCAGACAGGGTCTCGCCACAAAGTCTACACTAGCCTCGAACCCACTGTGTAGCCCAGGCTGACTTCCAATTCATGACGATCCTCCTGCCTCAGCCTCCCGAGGGCTGAGATTACAGGCATGTGTCACCATGCCCAGCTGCCTCCAGCTTTTTTTTTTTTTTTTTTGTCTTTTTTTTTATCAGTACCAGGGGTCGAACTCACAACTGCCTGCTTGCAAGGCAGGCGCTTATGGCACTGAGCTAAATCCCCAGCCCCAAGCTGCCTCCAGCTTTGATGTCACCTCCGGAGAGCTGCTTCCTTCACCCTAATTGGAGCAGGGGCCCCAAGGTCCTCTGCAGGACACCCTGCCCTCTGCCCCGGTCTACCTGGCCTGTTCTTCCTGCTGTCAAGCAGTGTCCTGGAACGGTGCCACCAGAAGTCTTGGCCCTGCGGGCAGAGGGCCACCCCAAAGCCACGGTGCCCCAACTCCACTTCTCCCTCCTGTAGCCTCCTCAAAGTCACCTGGTCCCCTAGGATGACCTTGCAGTGTCCCTGCAGGCTGAACATGGCCAGGAGGCTGAACATGGCCATGACAGCCACCAACTTCAGTCTCAAGACACCTGGCCAAGCTTCCCACAGAGGGCAGCTGTCCAAGACATGGAGTCACTGTGCGATCCCGCTTGAGTCCTGGGACTGCCAGCCTCAGTTTCTCCTCTCAGCAGCACCAAGCACCAGGGCTGGTCCTGCAGGTCCTTGATAGCATCCCCAGGGGAGAGAGAGGCGACCCCACCTGTCCCAGCCACAGACCACATCCTGTACCTCCGGCCACCCGCATGGCCCCTCTCTGCAGGAGATGCTGCCCACACATGAAACCTGGGGGACACAGAGGGACTCCGGAATTAGACCAAAAGGAGGGGAGGGCACTGGTGAAGAACACCATGTCCTGCGGAGGTGGTGGCATGTTTACAGCAGTGGCTTGTGTGTGACTGTCCATATGTATGAGTTCCTACCTTTTTATTTTTGAGACAGGGCCTCACTACCCTGTTCAGGCTGCTCCGGAACTCACTATGGAGCCCAGGTTGGACCTGAACTTGAGCCAGTCCTCCTGCCTCAGCCTCATGAGTGCTGGGGTTACAGGCCTGTACCCCCTCGCCCAGCTCCTCATTTTTTAAAATGTCTGAGGTGTTGGGAATTGAACCTGAGAAGTGCCAGGCTATCTCCCCAGACACCTCGTCCCCCAGCTTGATTCTTTACTTATTTATTTATATTTTTATTGATACCGGGAATCAAATTTATGACCACACGCTTGCAAGGTAGGCACTTATGCAGCAGAGCTAAATCCCCAGCCCCCTCTTTATTTTTGAGATAAGTTCCTCCTCAATTCCCCAAACTGGGCTTGAATTTTTGATCCTCCTGCCTCTGCTCCTCAGTAGCTAGGATTAGAGCCCATACGGTGCCTGCTGAGTTTCCCTTTCTATAGATAATAAATACGTGGGGAGTCCTGTTCTGGGCACACTGCCAGCCCCAGGAGGTACAAATGTAACCAAGGCGGCCCCCATTCCACCCACTGAGAGTGTGTGCGCTCCGGGCCCCTCGGAGTCCTAGGACAGCGGTGGCCGGCAAGAGGCAGGGGTCAGGGGTTAGGGGTCAAGGGGCTTGCCCCAGAGGGAGTCTAGGAAGGAGCGACCCCTCCTCGTGCCCCATACGCACCCCTGCAGCATGTCCTTAAGGCTGACCACAGTCGGGGGCATTACCGAGGCCTCCACACGCAGCACATGCTCAGTGGCACAGCGCCTGTGCCACAGTTTTTCAGCCCCTGGGGGGGAGGCAGTGCATCGGGGCTGGTGGGCGGGGTGGCAGCAGGAGGGGGGGGGCTCGGCGCCCCGGGGGTGGGTGCGTGATGCTGAGTTCCATACCGAGTCTTTTTTTTTTTTTTTTTTTGTCATTTTCGTTTTTATCGGTACCAGGGATTGAACTCACGACTGCCTGCTTGCAAGGCAGGCGCTTATGCCACTGAGCTAAACCCCCAGCCCCTCCATACCGAGTCTTGAGTAGTCGCGCATGGTCCCTGCCTGCAGCAGGGACTGCAGATGGGGGGGGGGGCACCCGGTGGGGTCCCTGTTCACTGCAAGGTGCCACATTGAGAGTCGATAAGGACAGCAAGGTGGCAGGAGGTGAGTTCCACTCCATGAGAAGGTCCTGCCCACGAGGGTGACACGTCCACCCGGGGTCCTCGAGACTGGGAAGGGGAGAAAAAGGGGTGGGGCAGTCAGTAGGGAATGCAGGAGCAGGGAGGGGCCATGTAGTGTTTTAATGAGCACCTACTATGTGCAGATCCTGGGCACCTGGCAGAGCTGCCTACTATGTGCAGAATCTAGGCAGAGCTGGGCTCATGCCTGTCATCACAGCACTTGGGGAAGACGAGGCCGGAGGATCCAAAATTGGACCCAGCCTGGGATGCCTAAGGACACTGTCTCCAAATTTTAAAAAGTAGCTGGGGATGCAGCTCAGCCCGAAGACTCAGGATTCAATCTCTAGAACCAGAGGAAGGAAAAATGTTTTTCTTTTTATTTTTTTTCTTTTCATTACTGGGGACTGAACTCATGACCATGTGCTTGCAAGGCAGGCGCTTATGCTGCTGAGCTAAATCCCCAGCCCCAAAAATGTTTTTCTTACAAACAGGAGAACTGAAAGCGAGGAGATGTCCCCAGGAGTAGGGTGACTGGGGGCCTCTGAGGGCCCCGGTGCAACCTCCTCATTTTACAATGAGGAAACTGAGGCCCAGAGAGGCTCACTGACCCTGGGATCCCACAGCAGGTCAGTGAGAGCCAGGCCTCCTGTGCAGGGATGGAACTGATTGTTCCTCGGTGGTGGCCGGAGGGAAGAGAACAAAGGGGTCAGGGCTGTGGGTACCCAGATCCCCTGGGACCAGGGGCTCCCCGAGACAGCCTGCACAAAGCCCCTTCTTACATTGTCCTCCAGGAAGAGTGGTACAGAGTTCAGCAAGAAGAGTTTATCCGCCATCTCGGGGAAGATGCAGGAGGAGTGGGGAGTGACTGGAAGTCGGGGACTGAGCCTCCCTGGGGATCCTGGGGTGGCTGAAACACCTCCCTCTTCCCCGTGGCTCTGGGGACAAAGCCTGTGGTTCTCACACTGAGCTACATCCGCAGCATCACCACCCCGTCCTTTCTTCAAGACAGGGTCTCCTTAACTCTCTAAATGTCTCAGGCTGACCTTGAACTTGTGATCTTCCTGCCTCAGCCTCCCAGAGAGCTTGGATGAGAGGCGTGCACTACCTCTGCTGGTTTTCTGAAACATCTTTTGGGCTGGAGGCTGGAGGCTGGTATAGAGCAAGAAGCCAGAGGAGAATCTCTGACCCCTTCCTGGCATCTGCCCTGGTCTCTGGTGTGCACCCAGCATCCAGTCCCAGACCCTGGCGACAGAGGACATAAGGACTCCAGGGCCTTTATGACTCTGAACCCTACTGGGAAAGTGCACTTCCTTGAGATGACAGTCGTGACTGATCTGGACCTGCCGCCAGCCTTAGCTCTGGAGGGGCTCTTGCTGTCCCAGGTGACTTCCGGTCCTCCTCCTGCCCCTGCCCCAGGGTCCTCCAGGACACGGTAACAGAGCCATCTACTCACCATGCCACCTACAAAGCCACCTGGGGAGAAGACAGCAGTTGCCCAACATTCCCTTGCCCTCCTAGCCCCTAGTAGGCCGTTCATCAGACTGGAAACTCTGTTGGTGATATGGTCCCAGGCTACCAACTCCTCTCCTTCCCTCAAAGCCCCACTTTGGGAGACCCCTCAGGTCCTGGCCAAAGCAAACTCACCAAAACTGTGGCCCATGAGGGAAAAATGATCCCATTTCAAGGCTGAAAAACGTAAGGAGTCAGAAAGTGGTCCAACCCCCCCCCCCCTGCCTCCTGCAGTCCCTGGTATGGGCAATTTCCCCTCTGGTACCTAGGCACCCCATCCACTAGAGCTGATAGTAGCCCCAGCCCACTGCAGGGGGTCCCTAGCAGGGGAAGCAGACAGCCCAAGATTACCCACTCCTAGGCTGGCAATGCTTCTTGGGTGCCAGAGCTACCCTGGTGACGAGGGGTCTCCGAGGGTCCCGGGCTCACCTGCTGTGACTCTGTGGGCCTCACTCACGAAGTTCTGGTGGTGAAACGGGAAGCCAGGGCTATAGCGGGTTGACAGACCGTGACCCAAGAAATCCGGGGCAACATAGTGGAGATCTAGATGAAGAGGCAGGGTCAGAGGGGGGTCCACACCAGCCACCCCCTGCCCTGGTCCCCTAGTCCCTGCCCCACCTTGTGGGAGGAAGGGAATGAGCCTATCAAAGGAGTTGGCATTGTCCAGCCAGCTGTGCAAGCAGGGGACCGGGTGGCCCTCCGTGGAGCCCAGGCTTTGGCGGGGACGTGGCCCCAGCTAGGGTCGGCTGGGACAGCAGACCTGAAAGATCTGGGCCCCGAACCAGGTGAGAGACAGCCCGACCTGCTTGCAGTCACCCAGGGAGACACCTGGGTCCCCGCATGGGGAAAACCTTGTTTGGCTTCGCAGGATGCAAGAAAGCAGAACTAGAAAGAGTGGGCTTGATGGGGACCAGCCTCGATGCTGTCACTTGTCTGTGTGATTTGGGGCTCACTCCTGAAACCCTGGAGTCCCGCTTTCCTTTTCTGTAAAACTGGAATGAACAGTGTGGTCTCCCCTTAACTGCAGGATTCCCCAGGGGCCAGGCATGGCATCACACGCCTGTAATTCCACCACCTGGGAGGCTGAGGCAGGAGGGTCACAGTGGACTCAGAGGACCTGAACTACATAAAAACCCCGTCCCAGCAAAGGCACAACCAAAGGCAAAACAAAACAAAAAGTTCGGAGAGTGCTGGGCCTTCGGCAGTACAAACTCTTTCCTACGCATGCTTATGATGAAGTTTATTTTAGATATTAGGTGCAGTAAAGGTCTGACAACAGTCATGATGAAATTATAACAATATCCCACGAGAAGAGCTGTGTAAATGCCGTGTCTCTCAAAGTATCTGATGAGAGACACCGGCTGGGTTCCTGGAGGCCTCACCGCACTGCTCCAGTGGGAGGATTCTTTTTTTTTGGTACCAGCGATCGAACTCACGACCTTGTCCTTGCCAGGCAGGCGCTTATGCCACTGAGCTAAACCCCCGGTCCAATGGGTGATTTGAAACCAGATTTTCTGTTGAATATTTTTGAACCTCCAATACTTGAAGCCTTAGACATAAAATTGTGCGGGTTAGAGGAAATCCCTGCTGGGTGTGGTGGCTCATGTCTGTAACCTCAGCATTTGGGAGGCTGACGCAGGTGGCCTGGGCTCCATAGTAAGTCAAGGCCAGCCAGGACTACGGAGCAAGACCCTATCTCAAAAAAAAAAAAAAAAAAAAAAAAAAGCAACTCCTGCAGCCACATTTTCCAAGTCCTTACTGCCGGCAAGTGGGGTGCTGAGCCCTTCACACGTGCCAGCTCCCTGTGTGCCCCCGTCTTCTTTCAGAGTAGAAACCGGAAATAGAACGAGCCACAGCACACGCCTAAGGTCACGCAGGGGACTGCGGAAGAGGGAGGATTTAGGGGAGACAGCAGGACACCAGGACCCCAGAGCTAGCGCCTGGCTCCGGGTCGGCCCGGCCCGCGCTGCCCCTCCCCCGCGGCGGGACCGGTGCGCCCCCAGGCGGCAGCGCGCGCCCCTCTAGTGGGGCCTCCCCGCCCCGACTCAGAGCAGCCACAGGCAGCAGCGCCGAGATCCGGGGGACCCCACTCTCAGCCAGTCCGGCTCTGTACGCTCCGCCCTCAGGAGACCGAACAGCTGCGACACCTAGGCGGGCGGCGCGGTCAGTGTCGCCTCCTCTCTACCTCCCGGTCCCTCGCAGGCCGCAGTAGGTGGCAGGCGCGCGAGTGCTCGCGCCTGGGCTCCCCTAGTCCCGCTGCAGTCTCGAGGGCACTGGCGGGGCGTGTTCACCCATCGCCGAGGTCCGCAGGGTGCAGCTGTCACTCCTTCCGGGGGCGTCACCACAGCCGAGCGGGCCGGAGCGCCAGCCCTCAGGACTTTCCCGCAGGCCCCGCCCCATACAGGCCCCGCCCCATACAGGCCCCGCCCACCCGCCCCAGGCTCCGCCCCGCCCCCAGGGCTTTACTGCAGGCCCCGCCCCACCGCCAGGCCCCGCCCCCGCGGTGGCCTCTTGCGGTTCCACTGGGGATCCTGGGTCAGTGGCCCAACACCTTTCAAACTCCAGTCTACACCGGTGGCGGCTACTGGAGAAGCTGATCTGCGATGCGGGAGGCAGGAGGAGCACCGGAGCCCAGCAAGGTCTGGGGCCCCACAGCAAGAAGCGCTCTTGGGGGAAGTGACGGTTCAGTGTCCCCCAGCGGGGCCGACTTGCGTCCCCTAGTTGTCCGACCCGTGTCCCGGAGTCTTCAGTGGCACCGAGCACAAAGCAGCCTTAACACCCTATGAGTGTGGGGATGAGTGTAGAGATGGGGGCTGGGGGGAGAGGGTCTGCAAAGGATCAGGAGCTCCAAGTCACGAAAGAGGTGTTTGGGGACTCCACCCTGGAGACAGGGAAGACCACAGGCTGCAGAAGTCTCAGGGTGTCAGGGGTGACCTCCATGAGGGAGAGGTGTCAGTGGCTGGGAAATGTGGGCGGCAGGGGGCGAGGGCTAGGAGTGGGGCGGCACCAGGTCTTTAGCCCTCTGCTGGGAGGACCTGGGCTCCGACCCTGCTCTGAGTGGTAGGGAGGGGCTGCCTGTTAACCCGGGTAACACTGACTTACCTTAGACCTGGATTCTTAAGGAATTATGCAGCCTGTCACAGAGCCTCAGGTGACAGGGCACTGGCTCAGCATGCCTGCTGGGATGCCCTGAGGACCTGCTGCCCCTTCTTGAGGCCACCCTTGTGCCTGGCTCCAGCCTGGCCCCTGGGCACCTGCAGCAGCCTGGACTTCAGACTCCCTTGGCCTAAGGATGTCATCAGCCCCTCCTCTGTCCCCAGGCTCATGACCACCATCCACCTGCACCCTGACCTCACCCTTAAATCCCTACCCCAACGCTGTGCATCTCTCTTCCTGCCTGCCTCTCCTCCTTTTCCTGTGACCCTTGGATTGGAAGACAAGAAATATCATTTCCTGCAGTGTCTGCCATGGCACCCCCACTTACCCCCCACAGTCCCCAACCCCAACAGCTCTGAGGTCTGATGGGAAACTGGGGCGCTCCTGTAACCTGATTCTCTGCATCTGGTGTCATAGGCCACTGGGTCTCTCGGGCTGTACTTCAGCCCCACAAACCTGGGACCCTTTTTCCCAGAGGTCTTTGCACGCAGTAGGGGTCCCCCCAATGCCTGCTGATTGGTTGAATTGGCTGATTACTGCTAAGCGCTGTGGTCTTAGCTCTTACCCCTTGTTTATGTTCCTCGATTAAAATAGGAGCCACATCCAGGAGATGGGAGGTGTCAACATGAGCTCACATGGCCAGCTGTGAGGGACAGAGATGTCCCCAGGAGTCCCCTCTTCATCAGCCGAGGAAAACCCCTCTGTGAAATAAACACCAAAAGCAGCATGGGCTCCAGGATTGGATCCTGGGACAGAAAAAGAACGCAGCGGCGAAACTGGGGACTCTAAATAAAGTCTGGCGTCTAGCGAGGGACCGCACTGATTTCCAGCTCTTCTCCAAGGTCCGCAGGATGCTGACGCGGGAAATCCGATGGAGGGCAGCGAGGAAATCGTGGGCCGCCGGTGCAGTCTGTAAATCTAAAATTACTGCCAAGCAAAGAGTTTATTTTTGTAAATAACCCAGATGGGAACATTTGATTTCATGGTTTGGATTTTAATTACGTACATGAGGGGCTTTGTTGTGTCCCCACCTGCTATATCTTAAAACGTTAAAAATTTCCCAGTGTATATAGTGAAAGCTTTAAATTTCTCTTCTTTTTCTTCCCCCAACCCCGTCCTTTTGAGCCAGGGTCTCGCTATGCAGTTCAGGCTGGCTTTGAACTCACTGTGTAGCCCAGGCTGGTTCTGAACTACCAGTGATCCTCCTGCCTCAGCCTCCCAAGGGCTGCAATGACAGGCGTGCGCCACCACATCCAGCACAAATATTTTAAATTTCTAAAAAAGGCCATGGATTTAGCTCAGCGACATAAGTGCCTACCTGGCGAGCATGAGGTCATGAATTTGATCCCAGGTACCAAAAATAAATAAATAAAATTTCCAAAACACCCCACTTTAGCCATATCCTATATATGTATTTCTATTCTCATTAATTGTGCATAGTTTTTTTTTTTTTTTTTGAACTGCACATAGTGTGTTGTTGTTTGTTTTGAGATAATGCCTCACTATGCAGTTCAGGCTGGCTTTGAACTTGTGGTGCTGTCTCCTGTCTCAGCCTCCTGAGGACTGGCATTCCAGGCGTACCACCATGCCCGCCCATCTTGCTTTTGTCGTTGTGTTTCAGGGCCGGGAGTAGAACACACAGGGCCATCCATGTGCGAGGCCGACGGTTTGCCGTGGAGCACACCTGAGCTCTTTCTGCCTCTGTTTTGAGACAGGGTCTTGCTAATTGTCCAGGCTGCCTTGGCCTCCCAGGTAGCGTGTCTTAGTCACCTTGTTGTTGCTCAGCACCCACAAGCTGAGGCAGGAGAGGTTTATTCTGGCTCACGGTTTGAGGAGGTCCGGCCCCTAGTCGGCTGGCACCAAGGCAGGGCGGTGGGGCGGAGGAGAAGCAGTCCATGGCAGCAGGGAGGCAGGGAGCAGCGGTCTCCTTCCTCCCAGGACACAGGCTATGGGCTGATGCCACCCCACACCCAAGGTGGATCTTCCCTCTCCAGGAAACCGACCACCACACCCAGAACTATGCTAGACCCCTCAGAGGGCTCACGGTGTGTCCCACACCTAGGATCCAGGGCCACAGCTGCATCACACAGCCATGATCTAGTCACTCCCCAGAGCACATGAGGCCTTGGGTGACTCTAGATATAAACCGTAACAGCAGAGGTGATTTGCTTTTGAGCACAGGTGTGTTCACCTGGCTCGCAGATGGGCAGGCACAGGAAGGCGCAGAATGGGCTCAGACCCCGCGCTGCTGTGGGGACCCAGAGACTGGCTGGTCTACGAGGAACCGGAGTTTATCCAGGTCGGGGTTCAGGTCAGTGTTCTAATTCATGGCATCCACATCTGAGCAGCGTCACCCTGGGGCGCCAGCCCGCGGCAGAAGGTGAAGATCAGGGAGCAGGACAGGACAGGAAGCCTGAGCTGGCCAGGCCGTCACAGCTCCCCTGGGGAGCAGCACTGAGCACCTTTGTTCGATCCCGTCCCTGAGCTCTTCGCACTGGGAATTATGTCCCCAATTCAGGGGACAGGGTCAGACCTTAGTGGACACCGGGTTTGCACCACACTGAGGTCCACCCCACTTCCACCCCCCACTCCAAACACTTCCTCTGGGCGTTATGAGCCAGGTGTGGTGGCGCAGGCCTGCAATCCCCATGCTCAGGAGGCTGAGGCAGGAGGATCACCATGAGTTCAAAGCCGGCCTGGGCTACACGGGGAGACCCTGTCTCCAAAAGCCAAAATCAAAAACAAAAAAATGCTATGTTCTCACATCAGCTGCTCACGACACGCATCATCCCTGTGTGATACAAGCGTGCACTGACAAAACAAAGCAAAAACTTCCCTCTATTCACTTCTGGGTGCCCTTCAGGACTTTCTGTTTGACATTTGCTTTTTGGTGGGACTGTGGCCTTGACAGGTGAGGAACCGGCCCACGTTTTGAATCTGCCTTGATGTGACGGTAGAAAATCGTATCTCAGGATGCGTAAACTTAGAGGTTTTCTTGTTATAATCACCTCACTCATTCTTGTACGTATTTAAGGGAGGCTTGTGTTTTCAAATGTCCTGTCTCCATTTTTCTATTTTTTAAAAATATCCTAGAGCTGGGGACATAGCTCAGTGGCACAGCGACTGCTTGGCAAGCACGAGGTCCTGGGTACAAATCCCAGTACTCCCCACCCCACCCCCCAAAAATGTAAAAATTTCTTCGGACCTTTACCTATTACAACGGTAAATTCTCTCTCTCTCTCTCTTTTTTTTTTTTTTTTTTTTTGTCTTTTTTGAGACACTGTGTCACTTAGCTCCTTGGGCTGGGCTTGAACTTGCCATCGTCCTGCCTCAGCCTGCTGGCCTGCTGTCCTGCTGTCCTGCTGCCCGGCTGTGTGGGGAAGTTGCTTGGATCTTATTCTTAGGGCCGGTGGACCACTGTTTTGTACAAAGAAAGTGTTAACAGGTCCCTGGACGGCCTCGCCAGGTCACTCTGGATGGAGGGCAACCTGTTCTGGCTCGGCTCAGGGCAGGTCGCGTCCCCACCCCTAGGCTTGGCTCCGATGCCTTCGTGGCTGCAGGACTGAGGGACCCCACAGGGGGCAGGGCATGGATGTAGCCGAGAGTTAGGGGGACACGGGAGCAGTCAGAGCTGGTCAAGAGAGTTCCGGGTGGCTTCCGGGTGGAGGACCTGGGTGTTCGAGAACCCTTTGCCACACCTGCTCTGGGGCTGCACTGCAAAGTGGCACCAGCCACAGAGCCTGGTGCTACCCCAGCCCTCTGCGCCCCAGCCACTTAGCTGCCAGCCTGTGCCCACCCGACCAGCCTGGGACACAGTGGCCTGGACCCCCACCCCTGTGCCAGTCAGCCGCCCCTTCCCACACCCACACCCCACTGGCTGCCCTCCTCTGCTTCTTCCCAGCAAACAAAACGTTCCCAGGAAGTAGCGCGTGATTTGGGGGTGCCCGAGGGCTTCCCGTGGCACTGTCCCCCAGCCACGCCAGCCTCTCCTGGCGGAAGGCCAAAGCCCTTGGATTGACTGACTTTTCAGTCCGAGGATTGGCCTTTGTACTAAACTGCATCCCCAGCCGTGTTATTTTTTTGGTTTAAAAATTTTTTTTTATAGTTTTAGACAGGGTCTCACTAAGTTGCTAAATTGTCCAGGCTGGGGTTAAACTCGCCATCCTCCTGCCTCAGCCTCCGAGTGCTGGGATTATAGATGTGCACAACCAAACCTAGCTTCTCCTCTGCTTTCTGTCTGTGTAGTGCTTCAGCATCTCACACAAAAAAATTTACCCCCAACTCAAAGTTGTTAAGACCCACTCACTGGTTCTAGTTCAGGTGTCTCCCAGGCTGGCTGCAGTGTCTGAAAGCCAACAACTTGGTCACAAAATATTGGGCAGGAAAAAGCAATTTAGGCAATCACTACTATCCTGCCCTGCATGTGAGTGGGGTCTCTAGCCAGGCTAGGAGAGAGAGTCTCGGAATAGTGCTCGGCTCTGCGACTGGTAAAATGGATGATTAGCTGGGCGTGGTGATGCACACCCTTAGTCCCAGCACTCGGGAGGCTGAGGCAGGAGGGATCATTGTAAATTTGAGGCCAGCCTAGAATGCATAGTAAGAGCCTGTCTCAAAAAAGAGAACAATGGGGCTGGGGCTTTAGCTCAGCGGCATAAGCACCTGCCTTGCAAGCCCGCAGTCGTGAGTTCAACCCCTGGTACAAAAAAAAAAAAAGAAAAGAGAACAATATATGCCATGCCTGTCTCTCCACGGACACTGCCATGTCACACATCTGTTTACTGCCTGTGTCATTTGAGTGTCAGCTCTACCAGGGCAGGGGCTGTGTTTTCCTCACATTGTGTCACCAGCCCCAAGCAGCATCTGGTACATAGCAGGTGCTCAGTTAGTGTTTGTTGAATGAATAAATGCAATCAATGGGCACAGCCTCTCCACGCTTCTGGCTCAGCATATGCTGTATGTTCAGCCCAGACGCTGGGGTTCCTTGTAGTACTTTGGTTTTTTTTTTTTTTTTTTTTTTTTGTCTTTTTCATTTTTATCGGTACCAGGGATTGAACTCATGACCGCCTGCTTGCAAGGCAGGTGCTTATGCCGCTGAGCTAAATCCCCAGGCCCTTGTAGTACTTTGGGATTGTGTCCCCAACCTCTAGAATTCCCACTGCCACCCGCAGAGTCACCAGGGTGGGTAGTCACAGACAGCCACAGTGGGCTGAGGTCTCTCTCCCAGAAACTAGGAGTTGGGTTTTATAGTCCAGCCTCAGTCTGGGCTTGCTTGTGCTTATTTCTGATTTTTTGAGACAGAGTCTCGCTACGTAATTCCACCTGGCCAGGAACTCACTACATAGTCCACGCAGACTGGGAACATGCTGCGATCCTCCTGCTTCAGCCTCCTGAGTGCTGGGATTATAGGCACGTGCCCCTGTCGAGTTTGTCCTTAAAAAAAAAGAAGAAGAAAAATTTTAAATGGAAAGCTTTGTTATTACAGCCTGAGTAGCAGGAAAAAAATCAACAGTGCACAGAGCAGAGAAAGCCAAGAGCTGTGCGGGGTGGGGGGCAGAGGGCCCGCTCTGAGCAGGGTGGCTTCCCCAGCCGAGCTCTTCCTCGACCTGGGCACTGTTGGGCCTTCCGGCGGGCAGCACCGGGCCAGGGTCCAGTCCTCTACCTGGGTGCAAGTCAGCGTCCTGCTGAGTGCTGTGGGGACGCACACGCAAGACACCTGTCACAGGTGGGCGGGCGCTGTCCTGGGAACCAAGTAAACTGCCGTGCACCAGGCTCCCGGCAGGGGGCGTGCTGCTCCAGGACGCAGACGGGCTGGGACCGCTGACCGTCCCAGGGGGACATTTTGGGGCAAAGCTGGAACCAGAGGGTCCCCAGCTATGGATTCATTCTGTCCCACGGCAGGTGGCTTCCTGTGTGCGCTCAGGGCCAGCGCTTCTAGGAACCTCCATACTGCATCTCCCTGCCCCCACTCCGAGCCCATGGCCATCGCTGAAGCTGGCAAAAATTGGAGAACTCCTACTGGTTGTTCTCGATCATGTGCCCACCCGACGGTGATCCTCCTGCCTCAGCTTCCCAGAGCAT